CCAGAGTTATTACACTTTTTATCATGGGTGTGCCATTTTCAGAGCAGAGGCCAAAAAAGAGTCCCCATAGGGTTAAAGAAAACAATTAATTGTGCATATTTGAATTGTTTCAAATTTTACAAAATATATGTGAGAATTTCAAGTTTAGGAAACAAAATATATTTACGTTACATTACATGTCATTGTATAATGTTTTCATTTGGATACGTTGGATGAAACGTTTATATTCAGTACCTGTTTACCAGGGGTGGACGTAACGAATAACAAATACTTACGTTACTGTAATTAAGTAGATTTTTGAGGTACTTTTATGAGTATTTTCTTCAAGTGTGTAATTTTACTCAAACTTGAGTACAATTTACACCATGTAATCTACTTTGCTACTTTTAAACTCAAAAGTCGCTATTGAGTATGCCCACAATTTGAAATAATATTTAAACTGTCAGATTCTTTTTTTTTTCAATGCAAATCCTTATTGGCTGTCAGATCGCGCCCGCACCAAGACGTAATATAAGCAAAGGCCAACTCGCTGCTGCAGCAGGCAAATGTTTCTGGAGGTAAAATACACAGCGGTGTAAAGAGTGGACTGAGAATTTGAGAAAGAAGCCAAAATGACCGAAGTGGACAGAAGTGTCCAGGGAAAATAATAAACAAAAGATGGGGGACGACTGCCCGTGGCCGTACCTGGAGGAATTTTTCATTTACAAAAGGAGAAAAGGAGACAGCGTCCAGATGAAGTGCAAACTTGACCAACACGGTGATATCTGCTTACAAGACTTCAACGTCTAATCTAAAAAAAACACATTGCGGTAAGATCTTTTACAACTATGATATTGCTTTTATTTTTGTTTCGTGTTTAGGTTATTAATTTGGCTAAGATAAGTCTGCAAAGCTGCCATTGGTTAGCCTGATAATAAGACAGAGCTAGCTAAGGTGTGGAGTCAGTGGGTTACATGCCGCCATTCCGACATCCCACCAGTCTGACGTGGGCCTCAAATTATCAGAATGGCAACACTTAATTTTCTATCAAACGTCCCGTCATTCCGACACTTTTTTTCCTCCTATGGTCAGAATGGCGGTATGATTTTTTTTTTTTAAACATCCCGCCTTCCCGAAAATTTCTTTAATAGCCTAGTAAAACCTTTTTCATTTGAGGAACTCCACAACCTCGCAAACCAACTTTAATAATCTAATATCAAAATCCCCTGAAATTTAAAATATCAAAATACAGGTATAAATATAAATCGGGCGAGTCTGAAACATGTTAGATTAAGCAGAAATGTTGTCTCGTTCTTCGCCGTCTATCCGGTTGCTAGGTTACTCTGCGGCTGATGACTGACGGCAGAGCACAGGTGGCTTCTTGAGCTTACAGGGTAAGCAAACCATGAATAAATCCAAAAAAAGAAAATTCTCTGAAGAAAATAGAGTTTAATTCAGCATGGACAGACTCATTTGCAGCAGCTCAGGTGATAGTAAGGAGAAGGATGCCGTTCACAGATAGAGAATACATGAAAGAAATGTTCATAAGAATATTTTAAAACATTAAGCTGCGGCTTAATGTTTTATTTATATTAAAGTGGGCTAGTCTTTATTTCAATTTTATACAAATATGGGAAGGATTCAAATCAACTGCATAGTTCAAAGTTTCATTTATTTCAATGTCTGCTATTGACAATGCAATAAAACATCCATCGGTTAAAAAGTAATTTGTACTCTGTCTCGTTTTTGAGAAGAGTACTTTGTACTTTTACTTAAGTATTTTTTTTCAACACTAGCACTTTTACTCGTAATTGAGTACAATTTAAGCAATGTAACAGTACTTGTACTTGAGTACAAATTTTCAGTGCTCTTTCCACCTCCGCTGTTTACTGGGATTTACAATACTGACTTTTGATCATCACTCAAACATTGTTGTGTGTGTGTCTATGTTCAATTCTCAGACATATATTATAGTATATATATATATATATATATATATAGTTTTGTAACCTTTGTTACTAGGTAAATAATACTAATAATGCGTGTATTAAACTCATTGGTACCCGGTTCTACGCGTTCGCTAACACCGAAGGTCGGCGCTAAAGCACCGCGGAGGCCGGATGCTGCGATAAGCGGCACCAACGAAGAAGAAGCTGCAGCTGCACGGTCTCCGTCATCTCCTTTATCCTCTGCGCCATGCTAATAAATCTATCCGAGAGCTGCGGTTACAGTCAATAATAGAGAGCCCTGTGCTGTTTAGGACCAAGACAACGCCAGCTGTCACTACCGGAAGGAAATATTCACGGAGTAACGCGTGTTACGATAACGTTACTTCAGGAGCATAATTCCAGATTACCGGTTAGCATTAGTTGCTAACGCAGCAGCTTCAAGCTAACGTTAATACGCTTTCTTCCCCGTCTGACGGCTGTTTAGAGGACACCACCGGAGAGAGTGTCATGAAATAACGGATACAGCTTTTCTGGTATGCATGGCCGTCAACACGTCCTTTTGTTAGCTTCCCAATAGTGCACGACACAGTTAATAACGTGAAGCACCAGTGCTGGGCGTTATCCCAGTATTATGTCCAACTATGATATATTTGTATACGCTAACGTACGCTACCTAACGTGTATCCCTTGTTGTTGTAACGGAGCTCTGTTCGCGTGTTTCCAGACTACTGTCCGCATAAAGAGTCGGTATGCAGCACACGGAGAACGGCAGCGCTGAAGAGGCGACGGTGGACGTGAAGTTCACCGACCTACCGAACGCCCTGATAGCCTGCAAAGTGCCGGAGGGTCTGTTCGGTGAGGGCGGCCTGAAGGTAAGGACACACTGCCCGGTCTTTGTGCTCATAACGCCGCTGTTATGGCGGCACAGGGCCGACTTGCGTCTTATGATGTAAGCGGCCATTCATGAAACTGTAGAGTTATGTAAATATTGCCTGAATCAAATGTGTAAGGAAACACTTGAACTTGAGAACAGCTTGAGGCGTGTAGGTATCCGAACTTGGAAGTTTACAAAAGTCATGTTAACTGTGTATATCTCTTGACTGTAACAACACAGAATCCCTCTTCGGTGTATTGTGACCACTAGATGGAGTTCTGACTTATTGCAAAAAAGTGACACGGTTGACAAAAACAACTCGCTTCCTGGTTCCTTGGTCATTGTGACTTGCTTGATTGCTGAACTCGTGTGATGTAATGCTGGATGAGGCCCCGCTCGTGACATCAGCCACAGAGATGCATCATGGGGAAGATTCTAATAGTTGGCTTTTACCTCCAGTCTGGTATAAGCCGTCTGTTGTACAATCTGTGTGGAAACAGTGAGTCACATTATGAGGTTTGAAATCAAGAGAACACCCATGCCATTAGGCATTATTGCAGGGCCTGCTTCTTGTTCCTTGATCACACCCTTCTTGGTGTCAAAGATTTGCCAATCCATACCATTTTATTTGACAGTCATCTGTCACTAACTGGATTGATGTGGAGCAGGAATCGGATCAGTTTTATGTTGCGGTATGAGTTTTTCACGTACCGTCACATCGGTGAAAAGCCGTAACACCCGAAGTTGCTCTTTGGCTGGCAGGCAGAAACATTCATTTTTTTTACACCTTACGCCATGGTTATAACTTTATAACAACAATTTATAACCCACAACAAACACTCTTTAACAGGGTGAAACACCGGGACACAACAATTTGTGACACGTAAACAATTGATCAAACCGCGTGCTGGGTACAGCTCGCCCGCTATCACACCGAGAAGACACCATGAAAAGAGCAGCTCTGCTAGTCTGTGTGTCACGCAGATCCTCCACCTGTTAGTTGGGGTTCTGTAGGTGTCCCTGGGCCCCTGTCATCAGTGTGTGAATGGGCACTCGTAAAAGTACACTCCATTTACCATTTGTTTTTTATTTTAAAAAGGCCTTTTATTGGTTTATTGGTTAGTCATTTGCATGTTAGTTTGATTACTTGACTAATTAACGATTTATATTCCATAGCAAATCCAAAATAATGACTCAATGTTGGGATTTGAACTTCCAATGTATTTAAGTAAGAAGTTAACACGAATGTGATCGTTGTAATAAATACATTGAATAGTAATACAAAATTAAAATGCAAATATGCTTTTACAAGTAACTCAAATCAAGCAATCAAGCCTATGCCACTGACAAGCATGTTGCTGCCACACAGAGCTTTAATTGTCACGTTGTAGGCTTTAGTATCATCGTAGTAGTAATACTAGTATGTTATGTTGATCTCTCGTAATTGTGTTGATATGAACGAGTTCTTTTGTTTGAAGAATCGTAGAGGTGGTTAACTATTCCAAACGAACAAAAAGACTGGCTACTCTGATAATTCACTGATTAACTACATTGTACTTAACATAACTGAAACACCAGCATCCTCCAAGAGGCGTTGTTTCCAACAGGTAACCCTAAAGCCTAGTTTATGCTTCCGCGTTTTCAGAGAGTCGCAAGGACACGCAGACGCAAGACCCCCTTGCACGCCCCTTGCGTGCCTTTTCACACCTCCTTGCGTCCTTGCGTGTGTCGACCCATTTTTCTAGACTAGCGTCAAAAGCTACGCAAGCCTCTCGCAAACCGCAAGGCTGTGATTGGTCTGCTAACTACATCCTTTACGGAGTCTCACATTTCTGTTTTCATAGCACAATACCGCCATTATTAAAACGAAGATTTTTTTATGAGAGAACGGATCGGATTGAAGGGCTTTTGTCGAGAGAAATCCGTAAATATGACCACTTATACAACCCGTCGTTGGTCGACAATAAGAACGCGCAGATGACCTCCGATTCACGGAGGGAGATCTCTGCAAACGTTGGTTTGCCGGTCGAGGGGTTTACAAAGTTGTGGAGGAAAATATGGGACAAATATGTCTGCGAAAAAAAGGCGATGAAAAGCAGCAGTGGCGATGTACGGGGCAATAAAGTCTGATAAATAAATAAACAAACCAACAACTTCCACACACAAAGACGTGACTCTCTAGGTCGTCTTCAACAAAACACGTCACTCCGCCTATTGTTCTGGCGGTGAATTGCTCTGCAACACACGCAAGACTTTAGAACCATGAATTGAAACGAGTGCAGTACAAGACGGCAACCTTTACCCAACATGTTACCCTAACCCTTACAACAAGTTAACAAGGCTGGCGTTACTTAGCAGTTAACGCTAACTAAAACTTACTCAGCAGCAGAAGACGTGGTGGCTCCAGCATGCTTTTGTTTAACATGTTTGTGCATAACCATGGTGCTGCTGTGAAACGACCATTCTGTTCTGCAGATGCTGCATTGTACTGTGTGGTTTACTGTCAGACTTTGGACAGTCTCATTCTGTTTTTTCGACTCTCTCCCCCCTCCGTTCAACTTCAGAAAGTTCTTCTTTTCCTTGGTGCTTATAACGTTAGACAATGGAAGTGATACTGCCCCAGCACGCTGAATGAAAATGATCGGTAGCTCTCAATCTTTTCATGTCGACGTCGTTGATTATGTCGGCTAATCGTTGCGCCTCTACATAAAAGTAGCTCCGGATTTGGGACCCAAAATGCGACCAGACCTGAACCGGCCGGTGGCTTCCGGTTACGTGAGACTCTTTCCACGAGGAGAGGCGGAGCGTGTCGTCAAATACTAAATGTGATTGAGGGACGTCATTGCTGGCTTTAAACAGCCTTTTTGTGATAAGGAACAGAAATAGTAACATAAACCCAAAGTATTTGGGATGGAGGTTTGTGCAGTACTGGTAACAAACAGCAGGGATACGTAAGAACGTCTTCCATCTGCCACAGCCCTGACCCCAGTAAGTAAAAGTGAAGACGAAGAAAGGTCACCCTAATTGTTAGGGTGTCACTGTGGACACACACACACAACCGCCGCTGATATACACACCGCATGAACACACACACAGGGCAGGGAGGTGCTCTAGGTTTTGCTGACGTTTGTGGAAAAGGAAAACGCCACAGGAGAGGGGCAAATGGTGTCTGGTGAAAAAGTGACTGGTGTTGGGTTTTGTTCCTCCTCCCCTTTCCTCCACAACCCTGCTGCTTTCCTACTGGGCATCTTCAGTGGATCAGTAGGTCAGCTGATGTATCCTGTGACAGAATATTCCACTGAGGCTGTGTGAATGTTTCATGAATCCTTGAGAACAGTCGTGGGTGAATTCATAAATAGTCTCTCTGGCAGAGACCGGAATGTACCGTTGTTCTCCACAGCGGCACCAGAGCGGAGTGCTTCTGTGGATGACAAGAATGCACAGATAATTAAAAAATAAAAACTTGTTTTGTGCTTTCTTTCTCTTTTTAAGTATTGCTAAGAAGAAAAATACAGCACCTGGTGCTGGGCGGTGCTGAGTGAAAGGTCAATACGTGATCGGCCTACTGCTTCATTACAACCACTGGTACAAACGTTATTGATCCGAGCGACTGGATAGGCCTTGTCTGACGCTGTAGTCCTAATGGCACATGTGTCACTGAGCTCCAGGCCCTGTTCCCCGGTGACACGGTGGACCTCTGTTAAAGACGCAAGGAAACGTTCCGTCTGTGCCCTGCAAAAAGGAATTTGTCACCGGAAAGAACACAGCGGTTCAGAGATGGCGGGTGGAAGTATTTGTCATTGGAATTAGACCCGAGGGAAGTGGAATCCACCTAAAACTACAAAGACCGTTTGAGTCTTTCCATGTCTTAAACCCTGGAAAAAGACAAACGGTGCCAAACAGACTCGGTCCAAAGTGACACAACCTTTTAGTTGACGAGAATCCCCTTATCTGTAGATAATGCTGGAAAACAAAATGTTGAATATTAACTTCTTTCAAGGTTGCGATACAGGTTCATACACTGCAGCATGTATATCACAGCAGTGTAAAGGAGAGGAAACAGAGATAATCATGACCCGTTCAACTTTCAATCAAAGACACTATTTAAATGGTAATCAAGCTCAAGCTCATTGTGTGATCTCTCTAATCATATCGTTTTAGGGTTAGACGATATATCAGCTGATGCCTGCCCATCCTCAACAATTCTGCTTGGATTATTTCTTCTGAAGTACCCGGTGATGCAAAGTGTTGCCTGAGATGCACTGTAATTCGGTCAATCAATCCCCCTGCTGCCAGCTCTTAGTTGGACCATATGACTTTCACCTTGGCGTCCAACACACCAGCAAGATGCAATAAAAATGTAGCAGCTGCCTATTAGCACAGCACTATGTGCACACCTGTGTGTGTGTGTGTGCTGCCTGCCTCTTTGTCTACTGAGGGAATGGAAAAAATGGGAAGATGAAACAAAAACAAAAGGGATGGAAAAAATGTAGGGCTGTGCACACGCTTACATAGCAGCCACAGCGGGGCGAGGTCTGCAGATGATTAGCACCTTCTCTCTCACTCACACACACACACACACACGGTAATGTTTAACATCAACAAACATCACTTACATGAGCGCATTGGCTTCACTGTTGGGAAGCTCAACACTTTATTTTCCATCTGACACACACACATGGATCATTTGACCATGCAATAACACTTGCTCTCAGGGAGCCTCAGACATCAAGTACAGACCGTGGACGTGGTGTCTGATGCGTTACGATTGGGGGTGTGACATTAGGGGGGTGTAAATGAAGTGTAATCACAAACCTCAATATCATTTCACGCTGCATCTCCCTGAACAAGGGCGATACAGGGAATAGATGGATGGGTTACCACACTAAGAAAAAAAAATGTTGCATCTACTTAACTATGTTATGTCAACCGGTTGCACACAACTGTTGTTTAAAAAGGAAAAGCAATGTACTATTAATGTGAACAACAAATCTTAAGTGAATCTTGCTTAATTATCTTACTTTAAATGGACGTGCCATATTGTATAACCACAACCACATTATGTTTGATGTACTAACACTGCATTCACTTAACTTCAGTGTTTACTTAACACCGATGCATATTATAGATGTGGTAGGTTTGTGTTAATGCAACGCCTTTGGTCTGTTTAAACATGTCAAATGAATACAATTTAAGTTGTTACTGAAATTCAATTAAACCTTTATTATACTCTGGAAGCATTTGTGGGACTATTACAACTAAAGTCACACGTGTAAAATACGAATGTGTATACAAACAGTCCCAAAAACAGAAACTATACCAATAAAGAAATATTCCATTTCTAGATCAATCAATGAATATCTCTATATAATATAATCTGTGTATAATTTTACTGTTTTAACCCCACACTTGAATGCAGCAACGATATTCAAACAGTAACATAGTCATAAACTGTTATCTCTATCAAATACCTATTTTCTGAACCAACTAACGTTTATGGATGTTGACAACTTAAACATTATTAAATTCATCAAACATTTATGTCATTAGGAACTGGCCAACCTGGAGGTTATGCTGTTCAAAATGTCAACAGCTACACTGCGTCCAACTCTTCACTTTTGTAAAACATTTACTGTACCACAGGTGACCGTGTCAAATAACAATATAACATACTAACAAATAACTAATAACAGTTGTGTCCAGCCTCAGTCCACAGTGGAAAAGCACTTCCTTAAATAAGGATGAACAGAAATTGAACCCAGTTCTTGTCTTGATGGCACGATGCTCATGCAGTTTGTTTTTGAGAACCTGCACTTTGGTGGAGAGCTTGTTCTGAGTCCAATCCCGTCAAAATGCTCTGAAGAAACTGCAAAGTGTATCGCAGGTCCTTGGGATCAAGTTCAATCTGTAGCCAAACAGCGCTGCACAGCTATTGGCCACATCTCTCAGGTCTTGCAGCACTGTACATCCTTCAACGATGATGCCGACATCCTCCGGTGCATGGGTTCCCTCGTGTCCCACGACGTAGAGAACATCTGTATTATGAATGAATATTTTAAAGTTTCTTTCAAGAATAAGACCGGTAATTGTGTTTTACTTGTGAAGAAATCTGAAAAAAGGCTCAAGGTACACAAGGAATCGACACGACCCATAAAATCACTAACAGCCCTATAAGTCCTATAAAACACACCTGTGAGATAGGCCGCGGTGTGGACAGTAAGAATGGAAAGTGTCACGTTGATCGAGGACCGAAAACTACTCTGGAGGAGACTTTGGCCTCACAGCTGACAAACGACAGAAGTCAGAATGTGGATTTTTGTCTAACTCCGGCTCTGGTTGGCCGGTTTATGTTGTCAACCGCTTTTTCGAATCGTCTGTCCCTATTGTATCCAACTACTGCTTCCCTAGCCACTCGAAGCCCAAGATGGGTAGAGCGTAAAATGACGATGTACATGCTGGATGCAAGCGAAGACTCAGATATTCAGATAAGCATTCAGATTTAATCCTGTTCTGGCTCGGTTTGAAACAGGTGTGCGAATAAAATCCACGAAAAGCATTTGGTCTACAAGCGGGACGTGGATGTCCTGTTGACGCCCGAATGTCTTCTTCCCAACCCAGGAGTGTTTAAGTACTCGCACAAAGTGCAAATGTTGGCGAACAGGCTGCACAGCCTGCTCTTGTTTTTCCAACTGCCGGCTGCTCACACACACACACACACACACACACACGCATCCCCTCCACTTGAAGCGCTCTGCTATTAATACCTCATAAAGCATGTTATCAAACTGCATACTTTCCATGAGCACCACCTCGACACTACCTCTTGCGTTTCTCCTTCCATCCTGCATTCTTTCTACCCTGCATGTCTCCGTCCTTCCACTCTTTTCTATTCCTATTCATCCTTTCTATATTCTCTCTCCCTGTCTGCCAGCTGGCCTGGTCCCCCCCCACCCCACCCTCAGCTTAAGTAAGACTGACATGGGTTCTGCACTGGCGAGTCAGCTGATGCGTCTTTGGTATGTGTGTAAAATCAAGAGCTGCGGGGCTCTTTGTCACGTTTTCCATTCCAAGAAGTACAAATGCAACAGAAAGCCGATTAACGTCAGCTTGCTCAGCGGTGATGTCATTATTTTCCAGTATCTCGCCACACACGCACACACAGCTCTCTTTTCTGTGTGATTAGTCAGCATTGGCTAGTATCTGTCAGTAGAGGTCTAAGCAGAAAAAACAGAAAGAGACCGTCCCTCCTTCCTCCACAGGCAATTGGCTGGTGGTGAATAAACGAATGAATGAGAGCAGGTTGAGAGGAGGGAGGGGCTTGTGTGTAATGCGTCATCGGCTGGCACACACTCATTTAAGTGGCAGTGGAGCAGCAGTAGAAGAGAGAGACAGATATAGAGAGCGAGCTGGGAAGAGGCCCATTGACATTTTCTGCTCCACACCCAAAAGATTCCTTCAGTCGGAGCGAGGTCTGCGTGGTACCGGGATTGAGCGCTGAGCAGGAAGAAGAACGGATCCAGACCAGATAACCTTGGAGCGCGTAGGAGGCCGCGTGTTGACTGCAGAGTATCGCCCACGAACTGGACCTGTTCGCTGTGAAGACGGAAGAAGAGAAGCTCTGGCTTCACCACCACCGAGGAAGACCCGGGTGCTGGAGGGAACGGACCAGCTTCCAGTTTGAGGAGCATCCATAACCTGCCCGTCCTCTGCCACCCTGGGGAAGGCAACGTTCCACCGGTCTCCCCGATTTCCCCCTTCCTCTCCACTATCATTGCCGCCCGTCCCGCGTGGCGCCCGGACCTCAGGTATACCTTCGAAAAGGTTTCGGCTGCCCGGATCCCCCAGCATGCACATCAAGACTACCAAGTGTAACCACTTCTGCCTGGTCGCCTCGGTGACCAACCAGGAAGTGTTCAACCGTCCCGAGGCCCAGGTAAGAGAGCGCTCCAACCAGCGTCCTCGGTGTTCATGGCGTTTGAATACTTCTGCATCCAAGCCAACAATCTTTATTAATTCCGTGACTTAAGTCCCATCAGCGGATTAATCTATCTGGACAGTAATGTTGGTAAATGTGGGCTCACTAGAACAGCTTCTGTAGCTGTGCAGCTCACAAATGAACCAGTGAGGTCATTGGGGTTATCTGGGCCGTCTGAATTTCTAATGTGGAGGATTGAGTGAGTTTCACAGAGAACCACATGTGGGCCGCTTTGATGTGATAACCAGTGAGGCCTCTGACTCGGCCGCTGGCAGGATTTAATACCAGTTACCATTTTTCAGTCTTGGTTGGGTACATGTATCTACACGTCCGTATCTATATATAGATATACTTATCCTAGAGGAGAAACCACAGAACCAGTCAGTTTGCTGGAGGCTTCTCGGTGTTGCGGACTGATGCTTATTACATCTCATCAACAGAACCAGAGACTATAAATAAATAAGCAACTCAAGAGGTCCAAAAAAGAGACTGCAAGACATCTTGAGCCGTGCCTGGTGACAGGCTTCAGGAGAATTCACAAACCCACCCCGTGAACAGTGTTGGGCCAAACATAAAACAAAAATCAAGCACATGTCAATCTTTGGCCATGCTTGGCCAGTGATTGGCTTAGGAGGGCATGTGGGCGGGGCCTTGACTCAGTGGCTTTCTCCCCTTAATCCCGACAGTTCAGTCTCTGGCACCAAATGAAGTCAGAATGTGAGATGATTAGGCGTTACTCCGTCCAGTAGTCATCCATCTTTTTACACATTCCACGTGGTCAATGTAGTCAGCTCACTTCCTGTCTGTAAGTGTGATGTTTCCCTACATGGCCTTTTAACTGTGTTTCGTTTTTTGAGCTGTTCTGATGAGAAACGACGGGTTCTGAAGAGGAAGTAGCAGTTCACTGCAGACGTAGTCCTTATGTGGGGAACCCCACCTTGTCTGCTGGTGCTGCAGCAGCTCAGCTGGTGGTCTGCTTCTGAGAAGAGCAGAGTCTTCTGGGCTGCTGCCCGGTTCATTGTTCTCTCCTGTCACTCTGGTTGGTCATCTAAAGACAAGGCTCCCCCTCAGTCAGACCCAGTCAGGCTACAGAGGAGAGGGGGCTATTTTTATACTTCCAGCCTCATAATCGTATTGATGGCTGCCTCTGACTCACACTGCTCACTACTTTCACACAAGTAAAAAGCGTGACTTCCTCCTCCCGTCTCTTCCCAGGCCACCTTTGAGGCCTTGTTCCGGTCATTCGACCCGGAGGTGCAGTTCCAGTACTTCAAGTCTTTCCGGCGGGTGCGGATCAGTTTCAGCGATGCTCTGGCTGCAGCCGAAGCCCGACTCCGACTCCACAAGACGGACTTCAGCGGCAAGGAGATGAGACTCTACTTCGCCCAGGTAAGTTCTGGAACTGCATTGGCTGCAATGATAGGAAGCCTACTGCCTATTCAAGCCCATAAATCCTTCAGTATGACGAGCTTCAGGCTGCCAAGGACCTTCATGTTTAGTTAATAATGAAGTGAAATGACTTCCATGACAAAATCATAGAATGTTATTTATTCCTGCATTTATTTTACACACTTTAAATCCCCCATTTGATTTCAGAAAGACTTTACTTTTCTATGAAGTGGTGTTTTCAGCCAATCACACGCTTACAGCTCCTTACAGCTCTGATTATTTTAGCTGCTGACTATTAATATATACTACACTACCTATTAGAATATGCTGTCATAATGCCTTTGTCTCTGCATGTTTGTGAGCCAAAATGTATTTTTAGTCCAACTGTCTTGTGTGTTCAGTCCGTCCATATAGGGAGTCCTCGCCTGGAGCCGCCCAAGCCAGACAAACAGTTCTTGATCTCGCCCCCCGCCTCCCCTCCCGTGGGCTGGTCCCAGTCTCTGGACGCCACGCCGGTTGTTAACTACGACCTGCTGTGTGCCATCTCTAAGCTCGGGCCAGGTACGCCACCTCACGCAAGATTAAAGGATCACTCCCACTTCTCTAATGATGACACAAAACTAATCCGCCACTAAATGAGACATGACCACGTTGTCCCATTCTCATGGAAACCCTGTCTGTCTGAGTAGGCGCTGTGTGTCACCGCGCTTATTATAATACAAGACAGACATTTTAGTTAGTGTGTGTCATCACTAAGAACCATCATCACATCACAACGTCATTCTCAGTGACCTAGTCCCCCCCCCCGCCCCCTTCTCCCCCTCTGTCCTGAACTACTTTGTGTGATTCCAGGGGACAAGTACGAGCTCCACACCGCCACCCCCACCACCCCCAGCGTGGTCATCCACGTCTGCGACGACGAGCGCGGCGACAGCTCTGCCCCCGACGACAGCGACCAGGACGACAAGCCCCGCCCCCTGCGGCAGAAGATCGTTCAGACGCGCCGCCCCGACTTCACGCCCGAAGCGGAGCAGTGAGCAACGGTATTGGCCGAGAGCTCGGCGCGCTCTCGGGGCTTTGAAGGTTTGGGGACTTCGGAGAGACTCCCGAGCATTTCATGAGGCGGGGGGACATAACCTGTGTCCAGTGCTGCATTCATGTCCTGAGGGAAAGACGGGAGATAAAAGCTTCTTCCCGGGCAAAACACTGATCACGTGAATGTCATATTTCTGCCTGTGAGTTTGTGGATGAGAGATGGAGCTGGAGGAAATAATAGTGATAAAATGTAGGAATTTGTGTATCCTCGTGTTTTGATTGTAGTATGATGACGAGACTCAGCTGGATGTTTGGTCTGTGGTGATATGTTGAGAAAAAAAACTCTGAAGTACCATGACCAAGTTAGTGTTTGTGATATGAAGCAGGCCAAGGGGAATAAAGTCCCTCCAGTGACTTGGATGTTGGTTATTCCCACGCGACATGAATGCAGCATCACTCTGACTCGCCGTGTCCGTCCTCATGTTGGCTTTGACCGAGGGAAAGCATTTTTTGAATAGGTCACTGCGTGTAGATATCATAACCTCAGTCAGCTGTAGAAGCCGAAGAGCGACCCGCCGGCTTGTGTCTCCTCCTGGGAGGTCACGTGGACGCTGTGGATCCCCCCCCCACCCTCCTCCCCCATCAGCTCCACCACTGTGTGACAGCTTCACCTGCAGCTGTTGAGTGTTGGGCATGTGGTCAAAGCTCGCCCTCCTCTCATTGTACAGACCACCCTTCATCACGAGGAGGAGGAAGAGTCCCGTCGGGACCGCTTGTATTTTAGCTAGTTACTGGAGCTCTTCTGACATTTCCCTGTCCTCACACTCACAAAGCAGCCATGTTAATGTGAGCACTTCAACGCCACCAACCTTTGATATGCTGTCCATAATGAACAATCAGGGCTGACCTTTGACACTGGCTGTTATTGTGAGAGACAAGAGGGAAGTTTTTGTGTTTTCACCGGTTGTCAGTTTGTGTCTGTCTGTCTGTTCCTCTTCTGACCGCTGTGCTAACCGTCCTGCTCCTCATAGGCTCCACCAGTGTGCACGTTAAAGAGGAGGTTGCTCTCACCCTTTTTCTTTTCACGTTTGTAACATGTGTTTTTGATACTTCAGTGAGAGCACACAGCTGTGGTGTGTTTGGTAATAAATGGATATTTCCACCAGCTTCTCTGCTATCCTGCAGAAACGAAAGTAGTGTACCGTTTCCTGTATGATGTAATCTTGACATTCTCTGTAGTTCTTACTCGTGCAGGCTTCTGGTCCACGTTGTTTGTGTGGAGGCTCTCACTGTGGCTGCTGATGTTGGAGCACTGTGAGGAGCCCGGCTGTCTCATTCAGCATTAAACAAAGATCCAACTGCACACGGCTCTTTGTGGTTCCTTCACATTACCATATTTTGAATAACTGCAAAACTAGTTCATCTGGCTCGCCTGTTTCCTCTGGTTTGTCTTTTTGACCTGTACTGACCGCGCCTACATGTTTTATACTTCATTTTCAGTGAGAAAAAAGGCATGCCGCTACAAAAGGGCAAGTAGCTGAAGTATGGAGTCATGCCACGAAGAAGTAAGGCAGTTCTGAAGGCAAAAGGGGTTCTAACCTTTTACTAGCAAGTTGTACATAATAAAGTACCTAATAAATCATTGTGTATCATGGAGACTATTACAACCACTATTAATCATGTTGATGGATGCAGAAGAGCCGTTCCAGCTCAAAGGTGTTATGATCCTTTAAAATGTTAAACACAGCAATGGTCAATGTGGCTTTTTTCATTAGAGTTGTTTAAAGCTAAACATATTCATGGGCCTTACTGCGTTTCATATATGAGTATAAGTATCAGTAGGGATCCTTTAGGCTGTTGTCTGGATCTAATTGACTTATAGCTGCACCACAGCATGAAAACCCAAAAGATGTTGTGACATTATGCTCTGCTTACCTCTCTGGTGAAGAAGCAGCGGCACCCTCTGCTGTTTTCAAACTCGGGTGCAGCAACTCCTGGAATTCTCTTCTCTGCTCTCACATTGGTGTCCCAGTGGTCTTAATAGGCCCCTCCCACTCACAAGTAATATAAATTGTTATATAACGTAGAGATTAAAGAGCTGTATTTCTATTAAAAGGCTATATCCTGTCATGGCCTGTTCCTAGTCACACGGTCAACTGTCCACCTGAGAGACGTGATGTGTTCAAGGTTGGAGTCCGATATTATTCACATTATCCATAGATTCAAATAGTCCCATTGTAGTGCAAACACTCCCACAGCTCACTCAAACAACCTGCATGGAAAGAAGCACACAAATATGTCCTTTTGTTTTGGAAGTATGTCAGCCATGACCTCCATGATGATTTGCTCTTTGTGTTTAATATATTCATCTCCGCCAACCCCGTCTACATGAACCCTGTTTTATATTTCTGAACTTTGCTTCATACAGCGGAATACTTTCTCCAATCAAAGCCAACGTGCACACACAAAAGATGCCAGCATTAACCGTAACAATCGTGTTTCCCATGTTGCCTGAAGGCATCATTAGTGGGCGTGCCAGTGGACTGCGTGTGGTGGAGGTCCACTGATTTGCCCCGGGGGCCACGGGCCGTCTTCTGGTTTACTAAAGGGATCTGCCTCACGTACACATGTCACATGACACACTGCTGAGCTGTATGCCTACAGCCACAGGGAGTCACTCTGTGCAACGACCACACCAACATTCTCTTCTTACATTTGGCTCTTACTAAATGTTAATGTACTACAAAACTAAAAAAGCTGTCATTTTGTCACAAAGACGATTTGTGTAAAATCGCTCCCCCCGGTTGCTCTTTGTGCACCTTAAGATCCTCATTATGTTCCCTGTTCCTGCTGGTGTCCCGTTCCTTTGTGCTGGGTGAAGACTAAGCACAACAGGGGGATACACCGCTGTTTCATTCCAAAATCATGAATATATGATATGAATACATCAATCAATACATGCGTTTTAATTTATTTACTAAATGCTTTGATAGTAAAGTGCCTAATAAGAGCGGTGAAGCAGCTGTCCCAGCCTCCGTGGTAAACAATGCTGAATTTTATTGCGTGTTCAACTTAACTTTTGCATTACAATAAAAGGAAAATACATTTTAGATTTCCCATGAAGGTGTCATGAGGTGAAGTTGAGATTTAAAGCATGTGTCGTAACAGGAGAGGGGACAGGAGCAAACAAACAGCTGAGGCATCATCTTCATCAGCACCAGTCTCATCTTCCTCCTACATTCCCCAGTCCGACCGGTTGGTGAGAAGGATCACAGACAGACGCAGATAAAGAGGAGAGGAGACATTGATCAGCGAGCAGGTCATCAGGGTGTTTAGCCGAGGTAACTGGATAATGTAGTGTACCAATGTGTAGCGGGGGGTTGTATTGGTGTTTTCCGAATCCTGATGTCTAGTTTCACTGACCAGCTGATCTGGATCCTGGAGCTCTCTGCTGTGTAGGAGGGACGACATGTTTCTCTTCTTATTCCATCCTCTCTTTTCCCTTCCTCCTCCTCCTTTTCCTACTCCACCATACATCTCCTTTTTTTGGGTCACAAGTCATCCTGTCATTCATCATCATAGGCTCCTATTTGTCCCTTTGGTTTACAGTAAATATTTAGAAATGTAAATGAGTATTTCCTTCATGAAGAACTTGATCATTGTATTTGCTGTATGCAGGAAACACCAGTTTGCCACTTGGTTTCTTCCCTAAATCTTATGTAATTTAAAATTCTATTTCTTGGACAAAGGTAATGATGAGGGCCATCTTTCATTCTAATTCATTAACTATTAATGATTTTACGTTGTCAAATGTCATTAACTTTTGATCTTAATCTTTTTGTGATTAATAAATCTGCTATAATGACTATATACTTTAAAACACAAGGCAAGGTTTCCCTCTCGGGTCACAACCACTGCAACGGATCATCCTAATATGGTTTGGACAGAAGGAGGGACGTCTGGGACTAACTTAAAAGATTTAAAAAACACCCTTTTCACAAAAGGAACCGTCAGAGGCTGATTATCAGAACAGAACATTAACACTGCTCTGAAGGTTGTTGTCTTGCCTCTTGAGGCCAAAATGAATATTCTGACATGATGCATCCGTTTTCACACCTAACATTTAAAAACACCCTTCTGAGGAATATTATCCAGTCAAAGAAGTTGTTTGTTCCTAAGTCATAAATACAGAACGACTTGCCTCACAGTCCCTTTTTGTGCAACCTTAGGAAAAACAATTAACCGTGAACCATAACGTACCGTGAACGCTGTGCATTGTTCCTTTTGTTAAAACTCTTTGAGTTCGTAAATAAAACATTTTGAGTCAGAAACATCATGATGAGCAATTTCCTCAGTTTATGTAAAACAAAAGAAAAGTCATTTTCTCAGGTTTCAAACACACACACACACGTCAACCAGAAGCTGCTCCACTCCGACACTGCCTGAGAACCTGTGGATGATGAGGAGCTCCCTGTTCGGGCCGCAGATGACCTCATCGATGTAAAGCGACCTCGCCTTGACCTCCAGGTTCTCCTGCAGCTCCCGCTGCCAGCGGACCAGAGCTCTCTGCTGGTCCTCCGACTGGACCCACATCTCGCGCAGCCTGAGGGCGCACGCACACGTTAGGCCAAAGGTCACAGCTCTCAACAACACACGGGAAGAGGTCACATGACTGATGACCAGGGACTACGTGAGGAGGATAACGGCCCTGATGCATTAGGACCAGGTTTAACATCTTAATTCTCCCAAAACTGTGGATATGTAAATATTCTATTCAACTGTTCAATTGTGCAAATGTGTTTAGATTTATTATTTATAATTTGCTGAGACTGTTGAGTCCAAGCAGAAAGGGGAAATTGTCTTCAAGCTTTTCTTCCCATTATTTAATTTTTTCTGAATTGAAGCTCTTTTTTTAGAACAAAATTTTCACATTTTATTTATTTATTTTAAATGCAGCCCTACTCTTATTTAGTTAATCGAGAGAACATTATTTATATTTGCAGTCATATTTTAGTTGAAGACCCCTGCTTTAGAGTGTTTGTATATTGTTGGCAGGAGGACCAGAACTGCAGGTTGGTAGAATATAGAATTACTTCAAATTGCTATAATTGTTTGGTACACACTTAAATGTCCATGTTTTCTTGGCTGGAATTCAGGACTTTGACCTACTTGGTGAGACCGTTGCCTGTCCATGACAATAGACAGGTGAAAGAATGAGTCCGCGTTTTTACACTTCCTGTTTCCTTGTCTGAAAGTCAGTGTTATTTTAATGTGTTTGTGGTTAAATAACTGAAATAAAGTCTTTTGTTAACACGAGCTGAAGAGATTTTAGACAATTTTTCTTATGATGGAATAGTCAGTCAATACTGTGCTAATGAATTTAGAAGCAACAACTAAAGGACATCGCTGGAAAAATATTCCTCTTTTAGCTTCGTGGTGGAGACAGGGAGTCATTTCATTGTGGTAGAGTTACTTTATAGTCTTACTGGGCAGCAGCCTGGTTCTGCAAGTCTTTATGTGTTAAATCTGAATTCTTTTTACTCACCACAAGGAGGCGACTCCTCTGTTCCTATAGACTTGAGAAAATGCCTCTACCTCTATCTTGATTTATTCCCTCCATATCGTGTATTGTCTCATTCTTTAGTTTCAAGTCTTACAGCATGATGTTCATGTAGTAAATTAGGGTCCATTTAGAGACAAACACACCATAAAGCAGAATAATGTTTAGGAGTCTTTTTCTCATAGACTTCTATACAATCAGACGTCCTTAAAGGCAGCAGAACAGCAAAGACTTCAATATTCATGTCAAATGACATGGGTTTATGTTTAAGATCTCCACCATTATGTGTGATACAGTTACATTGTATTACATCCAAAATAATGATGGTTAAAAGCAGGTGATAAAGGTGATAAAAATGAATCAGATGGCATATGAAATGAATAAAATCACAACAGAATCTGCACACTTTGCTTCAAGTATTTTTTTATTTCAACAAGTGACTTCATTTTAATAATTTTCCCTCTTTCACCACTTACTGGTTGACATCTTGGCCTGAAATATCTATTGGATGGATCAGTGATGGAAATATTTCTACCTCTTGATTTAATCAAAAAGTATGACTGTAATAATCCAGTTGCAAAGTAGATGCCTGTGTTTGATGTGTTACGGTAACCCTAAAGAAACCAGTCAAAGTGTAACGTGTCAACAGTACCTGTTGGTTCCAGTAAGACTCAAACGTTAAACGATTCCTTCCCATGCTAACTTCTGTTTCCCACTTCTCCCCCTCTAGTCCTTCCTCCCTCTCCTCCCCTTTTCTACCTCCCCCTCAGCCCTCTCTTCCTCCTTCTTCTCCAGGAGCAGCTTACGGTCACATTGAAGAATGGAGAAGAAGAGCGAGGAGTTGTTGGCTTTCTCTGTGAGGGTCTTCACTCTGCAGGAGGAGGAGGAGGAACGCATGGAGACACCAGGGGAGGTAACAGTGGAGGCTGCAGGAGGCACACCCATGGATACTGATGGAGTTCAAGGAAGTAAAACTCGTTTAGGGTTCAGGGTGTAACTGATGAAGCTCCTCTCTCATTGCTGACTTACGACTTGTGCACTTCTAAGTTAACCAGCTTTAAAACAAATCTATTCTGGTTTAATGTAATTTGATCGGGTTAAGACTTCGAGAAATATACCCGTGCTAAGCTGAGGGCAGCATGTATGCACTTAAGTAGTTGAATGGAAGATGGTTTTGAACAGGGGTTGACTTAACAAATTATACACTACAGACATTTGAAAAAAAGCTGCATTCATGTAATTCCATGTCTCTACTCTAACGAAAAGAAATCAGTCAACACAAACAATCTGAAAAAGTAAAGCGCTAGAGCTTCAATGGGTGCTGTCATGGAGTATGAAGTGTGCTCCATGGACAGCGACTTGGGAATGATGAGCTCCCACAGGAACGTTCTGGGGACATGAGGACATTTTCTGCTCACAAAGAATCAATTGGGTATCAGCTCAATGACATCACAAGTTAGAGACTGAATTATTTGCTTTTATGGTTTTGAGACAAAGAGGTTACTTTGTAATGGTTGAGATGAGAGAGAACAATTGGTCCTAATGTGGGTGAAGTTATGTGCTCAGGCTGTCCTCACACACTGTATTCACAGTAAACCAGGAAGGCTAATGCATTTTAAATACAAACCATTTGGAGACAGAATCACCCAGAGTAAAGATGTACTGTGTAAAGTTGGATAAGGTTGGAGGTCAGGGTGGAGTCTGTCGGTGTGGAACCAAAGGTTAACGTGACTTGATTCGTCATATAACTTCCGTACTTAAGTAATGCCACATTGATCGCTCATGTCACTGGAAATCTGTGTGAACATTGTTTAAGTCATTAGATACTGGTCCAAAGACCATCCATCAACATTCATACCTGCTCATACTTAGAGACATTCACTCTCACAGTGCTAGGAAAACCGAACCTTAACCTAACTAGACCTAACCTAACTATACTCAACCTAACCTAAAAGTAAGAGGTTACTGTAGCGTGCATCCATTCCAGTGATGTTTGTTTGAGATAATCTGTTAGATTAAAATCATGTTTACTGACATGTGTCTCTGCCTAAAACAGTGACTGGGCTTCCTCCTCTCTGCCCAGATGAAGATTTGAGCAGCCTAGATGGGTCCAGTTAGGTCATATTGTCCGATGTGTTGTTCTGTAAAGGAGGTGCAGGTCCAGGAGGAGGTGCAGGTCCAGGAGGAAATGAGCACACAGCCGATGCTCACTGTGTGCAGAGAGGGAGGAGCAGAGCAAGAGCTCACCCTGCTCCTCAGCCCGGGAGAACAAGCTCAGCAGCTCACCGTGCAGGATGGTGAGCGCGCACACACACACGTGTATGTACAGAATGGCTGTAATTTTGGAAAAAAAAATTGGTTTGAATAAAGCTAGTGACCCATCCAGAGGTATAGATGGTAAGTAGTAGAGTTATTGTTCGTGCTGAATAATGCCAATAATCAACCCAGGTTGTTTTTATTATTGATGATTATTGTTTGGGAAGTCTGTTGCCGACAGGCTCTGAATATGCAAACAGCTAAAAATGAGCTATTAACTTTAATCATGCAATTAATCAGGATTAAACATTGTAATTGTTGTCCAGCACCAGTTATGTTATCCATTAGTGGGGAAAGTACCACAATGTTAAAACACAGAATTATGAACCAACACGCTCTCAGTCAACAGAGCGTCAGTCTTCCGGTTCACTGTATCCAAGGAGATGGAGTGCTGCCAGGTCGGAGGACAGTCTTTCCTGGTCACCGTCGGCAACCAGAGTCTCCTGCTGCAGTTCAAAACTACAACTGGTTTGTATATACATGCTTATGATATTATGTTAATGTGTGTCAGGAGTTCAAACATTCACAACTTCCTGTCCTCCCTGACCCTCCAGATATGAAGAGCTTCAAGCGGTTGTTGAAGAGAAGCGATGATGATGAGGCGGGGAAAGGTTGCACAGAAGGAGATCAGGGAGGACACAAGGATGCAGAGGGATGCCAAACAAGAGTCCCGAGGACTGAGGATGGCCCTGCACAGGGATACCAGGTGGGCCGCGAAGTCTAGTTGTGACCTTGCAGGTGTGGAGATAAATGGATACGCTTGAAAAAGAACTCTCCATTGTTGGTTGTTGCGGCCGTTTAGTTCCACAGCTGTCTGTCCCAGCACCAGAACCTGCTGCAGGACTCTCCCAGGATCACCACGTACCAGAGATGCATGCTGCTCAATGAGGGGGACTTCAGAGACAAGGTGAGAACATGCATCAAACTCCAGTCGGCAACAGGAAATCAGTCCAAAACAAAGTGGCAGCGAGTGACTGGGGTTTAAACACTAAAGGGAGTGAGTAGGGTACACAGGTGAGTGTGACTGGGCTGACGAGGTTTATGTGACTAGCAGGCGTTCAGAATGAACTGATTAGGTGGCGTGCGGCGCTGTGACAGTGTTGCAGTTCTCCACCACCAAGTGTGTGGTTGTGTAAGACTCTAAAAGTTAGCTGTTTATTCTAGTACACTACAAACAAGACTATATTACTCTAGGTCACAATAACATTCAAAATCACGTTTAACATGAATTACAGATGCATCTTGATGCACCGAAGCTCGATAGTGTTAGCTGCTGACTTTTATTTTTTAAATGTTTTTTTGGTCTCATTTATTTTGATTTTGATTACCAAAACTTCAAAAATAATACCTGGCACCATCATTTAAAACCCTTCCTACTATTCAATGCTTCTTACAACATAAGTAAATGTGGGAAATAAATCATGGTAGTGGGACTATTGGTCTCCACAAGCTGAGAGAAACCTCCCACTTCAAATCGCTCAGGGACCTGAGTAATATGTTGGCGCATCTCTGACATCATATTTCCATCATAAACCAACAAAAACAAAAAGGATGTTCTCAACTGAACCTCACTGGAGGGAATGTGCATTTAGTTTGTAACCGGCCTAACCAGCTCTCCCTCCCTCTTCCTGTCTTTAGGTGGTTCTGGATGTGAGTTGTGGTTCCGGTATTCTGTCTTTCTTTGCAGTCCAGGCGGGAGCCACCAGAGTGTACGCTGTTGAGTCCAACCCCATGGCCAAGTATACAAAGGTTATCCCCTTTGTCCCCCTTTGTCTTCCTAATGTCTGCTTATTGATGGTGTACACTAACGCCGACATTTGAAACTGGTCCTTTTCTCTACAGAAAATACACTTTGACTCCCACGCAGATTTTGGAGAGCAACGTTATGTGTGTTTTGGCCTAAAATGAAACCGCAGTAATGCGCTCGACAGCACATTCACACACAGAGTACATACATCGCATGCAGAGCGTGGCATACTGGGGAGTTAATGGGTTGGAGCAACATCTGGCCTGTTGTGCGCAAGGATAGGGGCTGCAGCAGGGAGATGCTGCTGCACACAGTACTGGGCATAGACCGATATGTGGGGATTTTACGTGCTTTCCATTAGTATTAAACATTTACCTGCCATCTTACATCTAATGGCATCCAAAGAGATGGTATATTAAGAAAAGAGATACTGTGGAAAAATACTGAACTCTTCACTGTTCTGACTGGGAAAGTCTTTCTGAAGAGTTCTCAATTCTGTGGACACCACAAACTAAATTATTTTGACACAAGGGGTTATTTGGGGGGGGGGTATCTCAGAGAGATATTTTGAAAAAAAAAAATAGAACCAGTGGTTTTGGAATTTATATTCCCAATGATTTTTATCCCATGGAGAATAATGCGTACTTACACTGCCTGAGCCCTCCTTTGGCTTGAAACAATCACGGATTGTTGAATCCCTGCCTCTGGCTGTCATATTCTCCATGGCAACAGCAATGCCAGTACAAGGCGGCGACAATATGAATTTAGAGCATTGCTTTATTATCTCTGAGACTTTTGTTTCTATAAATTAACTCATAAATGTTCCTGAAATAGAAGAAAAGTCGTCACAAAGAGAATTACATTACATTACAGGTCATTTAGCTGACGCTTTTATCCATGTTTAAAGCAGATTCGGACTCTTTCCTGATGATCACGTCAAGCTTCTGATCATATAAGACCTGCATCACTCCAACAAGAGATGTCATCGTTATTCATTATTAATGCACATATCAAGCCCCCTACCCCTGATGCTGAACAGCAGAGTAATCCAAAACCCTTCTCAAATCTACACTAAAAATAAAGGTCAGCGGCACTCTCTTGGTTTCTAGAGCTGAAGTGGCACTCTTTTATGTTTTATCACATCATTCCTCTGGTATATGGAAAAAAGGATTTATCAGAGACAGACAATAGTAAAAACAACAACAACAAATGCCGGCGTATTAGACACTAAATACTCAGATTGGCGAAGATGCGGTTGAAATGTGTGACTGTTCTGATTGGACTCTTCTTGAGATAATTAGTGTGTGAAGGCTCCGCGTGGACACATCTAATCATGTGTAAGTGTTAAAAAGAATGGAACAACTGCCGGCTTTTAGTGGTAACTTTGGGGTTTGGTAACCAGAAACCTGGTTTCACCGTCTCGTGTGTTTTTACAGTGCACCTTTTTCCTTTTCCTGTGCAGATCCTGGTCCAGAATAACTGTCTGACTGAGCAGATCCGGGTCCTAGAGGGGAGGCTGGAGGAGGTTAGCTGTCCCGAGATGGTGGACATCATTGTCTCTGAGCCTATGGGGTACATGCTGCTCAATCTGAAGCTCATGGAGAGCTTCTTGCATGCCAGGAAATGGCTCAAACCCAATGGTAGGACTACAGCTAAAACACACACCATAACTAATCTAAGGCATTTTCATTTTTGTACGGCTCTCAGGTATGAGGGCCCAGTCAAGGTCCCAATCTGAAGGACTGTCTTGTTTTGGGGGCCGATGGTTAATGTTGGCATTGTTTTACCCTTATGTGTGTCTCACTATCTTTGTCTCCCTCTCTTTCTCTCTCTCTCTCTCTCTGACTGTCTCTCTGTAGGTCTGATGTTTCCCTCCTATGGTGATATTCATCTGGCTCCCTTCAGTGATGAGCATCTTTATTTCGAACACTGCGGACGAGCTAGTTTCTGGTCTCACACATACACACAGACACACACACACGCATATACAGGCATAAATCCATGCATGAGGACACAAACACACTGGCTCCCTTTCTCTCTCACAGGCACACATGTTCCTCACTCAGCCATGTTTCCTGTTGGGTGTTGTACCCTCGGGTTCAGTCCAGTCCTGACACATACAGATCAACCTGCATGAGCTTCTGTAGGACCATAAGTTGGGGCTAAAGCTGATATTTGGTGCCATTAATATGATTTGATTTTTCTGTCAGTAAAATTTCAGTAAAAAAGGTTTTCAAAGAATTGTGTGACAGGACACTATGCCGAAATGGCCAATAAGTGTTCTCATCCATCTCATTTTATTTGCCTTCATGGTTTTTGCTTCGAATGACTATGAAACCATGATAATCAAAATCTGCATTCCATTGTTCAGTGATGCTGCTGTTTTTTATTTCCTATTCCTGTGAGCTTTCACAGTGCTCTGCCTGTCAGGGACGGCATTCATATTTGATTTCTTCTCACGCCACCATGTGTGATGGACATTTAATTGCAATGTGCAGTATGTGATAGTGAAACACTGAATAGACCCGTAGTGGGATCCCAGTAGATTCTAAATCAGATATAAGAGGCTATGAAACGGGACAGACAGTTTACTTTCGTTCTCTCCATCAGTTTTAAGATCCTTAACAGGTCAATACAGACTGTATTGGCAGTTTTGTAGTTGTGTGAGCATTTTCTGATTTCAGGCCTTTATGCATCTCCACAGAATATTTCTTCTCCGATCTATTCTGCTATTTTTATGTTTTCTAAAGTCTGAGCAAACAATTCAACAGCTTATTTGCATGCAAGCATTCCAGGATGTGTGTGTGTGTGTGTGTGTGCGTGTGTGTGTGTTTGTGCGCTGCCATGGTCTGCGCCCTTCACTGCTGTTCCACTATGTGTGAAAGTCAGGCTCAGTCAGCGTTGAGGAATGAAGATAGACTATATAAAGATGCGATTAGCCACATTTTTGTGATTCCATGAGAAAGATGTTAAATTATTGGTTTGTTTCACTTTAACACCAACTCTGTTAATGATATATTGAACACCATTCACAGCTCTACAGATCTTATATGAACAACGGTGTGATATTCATCAGTACTTGTGTCATTGTTGTTGGCGACCTTTCTTTAGTTTCAAGTCTTCTTCAATACAACATAATGTTCAATTCGTAAATCATGGTCTGTTTACACTCAAATAGGCATTAAAGCAGGCTGTGCTTCGATGCGGTTTGGGGACCTCTTATGCGTCATGTTGTTCTGTTGGCTCCTTCAGAACATTACCTCCAGCAGCACAGGGGGGCTATGAGTTAAGATCGAAGCCGCCTGGATGAGAGTCATCACTTCTGAGTCCGAGGTGAAGGTTCTCTGCCTGAAAACAGTAGATTAGACCCTCTGGGTCGGGGGTCAATCATTTATCCCAAAGCTCTGGCTTTACCAGTCCAGCCACGTTACAACCCTCACCTATGCTCATTGGCTTCAGGTAGTGACTGAAAGAATTATGGATAGAAGGGGACAAAAACAGCTTGCTCCTGAAATCTGAGCTCACTTAACAGATCCCTTAAAACCTGTAAATATAAGATAATTTAAGGACATATAAATCTGACATTTTGGTGTTTTTTATTTGGACATCAAATACCTCCAGCATCCCAATGGGATAAAGTTCCCATCCTGAATATATCCTTCCATCACACAAACCAGTGTGACCCTATTTCTGCTTCTTTGGCTTGTCCAACTAAGAGATGGTTGAGTGACGGAATCTGCTCGGGTATCAACGCCTCTTCTTTCCTCAGGCAGCAGAGGAGCTTCTACGGAGTGAACCTGAGTGCTCTTCACAGCGCGACAATGGACGAGTTCTTCAGGCAGCCAATTGTGGTTCGTGGGGTCACCCATCAGTGTGTTAGAGCTCAAAGTCTGTGGAGACACTAAATGTATAAAAGGGCATCTGAGGAGGAAAAGCAAGAAACAAACAATATTTATACATGTCATTTTCTGATTATGTATTATTTCCCAGGACACCTTTGATGTTCCAATCCTGATGGCCAGGTCCGTCAGGCACTGCATCAACTTCATGGAGGCTAAAGAAGAAGATTTACAAAGGTGGGATCCAGAAATCAGCAGAACGTTGGGAGAAAAGGAAGTTATACGTGTTTTAGAGAAAGGTCCAGAGAAATATTATGGGATAATAGGTATGACTGATCCAACCAACGATGTGCACAAGTTTAAATTACTATTTAAACTACGGACTAGTAATCAAAGCTATGCTTGTTCCCTCCAGAGTGGAGATTCCCTTCGTGTTTACTCTGATGCAGTCTGGCCTGGTCCACGGACTCGCCTTCTGGTTTGATGTGGCCTATGCAGGATCCAAGTAAGAGATGATTAACAGATTATTTTGCCTTGATCAAACATGGTCTTTTAGCTTAGAGCAGCGGTTCCCAAACTCAAGAATGCCGCGGCCCACTTTGAAATCTGAAAATCTTTTGCGGCCCACCCAAACCTTTAATCACAACTCTGATCAAAACATAAACTAGGGATGATTAAATGACCTTAAGAATTTAACCGATTAAAATGTATTAACCGACAATGTATGTTTTGTATACCATTTTCTCTGAAGCTCATATATTTACTTTAATACTACAAGAGGGCGCCCCATTTGACATGGTTTTGTTTGGCGGCGCCTTTTGTTGAATAACGACAAGCGGACAAGAGCAGCCGTTTCGAGCGAGAGCCTTATTGTTTTATTAATCTGTTCGTTTAAATAGTTTGTGCTTCATCAATTAATGTTTTACATAACTAATGTGCCGCTAGAAATGTTCAAATAATACTTAAACTGAGAAAAAGATGTGCGTTTTGTATCTTATCAATTATCAATTGTTTTAAGTAAAATACAGACATTTAAATCATAAATATTTTTATATTTATTTCAAACTTTTCAAGATTGAAAATTAAAAACATTTTATTTATTTATTATAAATGACCTCTCGCGGCCCACACTTTGGGAATCGCTGGCTTAGAGTGAAGGTATGTTATTTTTTGTTTTTGTTTTGTCTTTTGTAAACAGATAAAGAGAAAAAAAAATGTTTTTGTGGCTATCAGGACAATTTTACATAAAGTGTTGTAATACTGATTTCGGCCATAAGAGGCTGAAATTCACCGCTAACCTAAGCATTCCATCTTCACATGGTCACATGATGTAAATCAAAATACACACCGAGTGAGCGTTGGGGGGGTACAGATGGTCCGGTCGATGGGGAGGATTGTGGATGACGGGGGGGGGAGGGGGTATGTACCGATCTCAGAGTGTTTCTCATGCGCTTATTCGTACAGTGCGACCCCGAGTGGACGGATTGGGAACAGCAGCTACTTTTTTTAGGAATTATGATGTCTTTCTGTAATTCTCACACTAGCAAAGCCCTCCGGTGCGCCCCTGCTCTAGGCGTTGGTGTGATGCTGTACTGTTTTTACCCCCCCCCCTGCAGGTCCACGGTGTGGCTCTCCACAGCCCCCACAGAGCCTCTGACACGCTGGTATCAGGTCAGATGTTTGCTTCAGACACCACTCTTCGCCAAGCTGGGACAAACCCTGTCCGGGAGGGTCCTGCTGGTCGCCAACAACAGGTGCAGCTGGGCTTCACAATGTTTCCCCTGAGAGCCCCCAAAGTGGGGCATGAGGCATATCCTGCTGTTTGCTCCAGAGCAGATCAGTCAGTCAATAATAACCCCCCCCCTCAATGTCAGTTCTACGACCTGCGTGGAACCTTCACAGGCGAATGATCGTGCACCTTTTCCACACCGCAGGCAGAGCTATGACATCAACATCACCGCCATAGTGGACCAATCAGGCTTCAGATCCGGAAACGTCCTGGACCTCAGCAACCCTTTCTTCAGGTGACTCCTCCTCCCTTTGATACATTTACCAACACAACCAGATATCATTTTCTCACATTGGCATATCACAGGAAGTTCTACTTTGTGTTGATGCCGTATGTTTCCTCTGGATTATATTGGTTTATCAAGGGACACTTAAATAAATCTGACTGATCTCTCCTGAAGTGTTTCAATGAGCTGGTTTAACTAACTGAGCCTTACCCTGAAAGTTTTGATCAGAGTTTATTCAGAGTGACTTAAACCGTGGCCTTGTCATTGAAAAAGTGGAGCTTTTTCGATTATTCGCTATGGCAGGCTACCAACAGGTAGATAAAGAAGAAAGCCTCTAATTTGTCAAGTGGAGACAGACAGATAAATGCATAGGTCAATAGTATATATAGAAATGATCATAAAAGGTGAGGTCGTTGTGGCGCAGGGGTGCGCTGGGAACCGCAAGGTTGGTGGTTTGAGTCCCGGCTGCTCTGTGTCTCAAGTCAAAGTGTCCCTGAGCAAGACACTTAACCCCCAATTGCTCCCTGGGAAAAATGTAGAAAAGCCATCTTAAATCTTAAAATTGTATTGTATGTCACTTTGGATAAAAACGTCAGCTAAATGACCTGTAATGTAATGTAAAATCTGATCCAGTTGTAATGTCTTGAGTGTTTAAAAGGGTTGAAATACAGTGGATTTTAAATATTTAATACATCTGTTTAGATCTTGGCCCAACACTCACGGTACTCATCAGCTCTGGGTCGCTGTATAAAACAGGTGGGTCCATTCAGGGCGAGCTCCTCTGTACCCAGGAAACCCATTTCACTTGTCAATGAGCAGGTGATCTGTGTGCAGGGCACCGTTCTGGTAGAGAGCCAGCGAGAAGAAGGCCTCTGTCCTTCAGCAGAACATAGGTGAACTTCGAGCTGAGTCATGGGGAAACCAAGATACGTCCACGTCTGTGAATGATCCAAACATGCACAGCGTCCATCCTGCAGATACGCAGAACAGGTTCATGAAAAGTCCACTAGAGGGCAGCAAAGGGTGGGACGTCATCTTCAAAAACAACATCTACCATGAAACATTCCCCACAGCTACAAATGGGGTAGATGTGGATTTAAGCACAGCGTAGTGTGGAAAACGCTATTCCATGTTTTATTGTTTTTTACAGACGCACTTTTTATTTTTCGAGTGTACCCAAACGCATCGTGGACCTACTCCACCACGTCACTAGGGTTAGCGCATTCGTGTCACCGCGGATCAAACGGAGAGACGCGAGTAGCGCGAGCCAGAATAAAATGACGCTGGCTTGATGAAGACGTAAACATGTTGTAAGTCTCTTCATTGATCCACAGGTGGTTATATTTCTGAAACGACGTTACTGTGTTTTGAAATGACGTGTGTATGTTAGTTTGTAGTGAATTTGTCTGTAACTGCCGTCATTCAGAGGCTAGTTAGCCGCTAAGTTACATGTAGTTAAACCGTGATGTGTAATGTCGTGTAATGTCAAGCAGTGATGTTGTTGCCAGAGTTACTTGTTTCCAGTTTATTTAAAATGCGACAGCTTTCAGTGTTTAAGGAGTTTCACCATGAAATGCTGTTTAGCATTATGTCTATTTCTGCGCAACCGTTGCACCACTGCCCGCCATTTTGTGTGAGAGATGGCGCTAGCGAGAATAAAATGACGATGGCTCGATGAAGACTTAACCACGTCGTACGTCTCTTCATTGATCCACAGTGCTGGTTCGCCTGTAAATCACTCGTTCAGACCCGGTCCAGACACCCCTCGGTCTGTCCCCGGTTACAATGGCTTATATTTTTTAATTTAAATGAATCATTTCATGAAGTGACTATTTGTTTGTTTACATCAATTAACAAAATCATTTTAACTGAAACATTTGCAGAATCTCACATAAGAACATATTTATCTTGAGAATTTATCTGCAGAAGAGTTTGTACTTCGTCGATCCTCTCCTTTTAAGGCCATGTTTAGCTTCAACCCCTACAGCTCCAGGGCAGTAATGTTCACATCAAAAGAAAAGCACATTTTTGCAACTGGGGGGTGTTTACTCACCTAATTGTAGTAATTTGGCTTCATTTGCTTCATTTGCGCGGCAAAGGGGCGTGGCTTAAGGACAGTTATCATGTTGGCCCGGATCGGGCCGGGAACTCTCGGGTTGGACACCATCTACAGGCGTTCAATCTCAACTGCGGGACACCTGTCTATCTGTCTCAGATGAATGGCTGTTTCATAAAATATATGCATGCTTTGATTGCAAGACAAGCGAAGCGTCTCAAAGCTGATTTGCTTCTGTTTTTTTTAATTCAAGGTCAAAATTAATATTATAGGTGGCATCCGTTCCCCAGATTTTGAGTGTGTGTATTATACAGATGCATAGAGATATCTCACAATGTTTTATATAAACACAAACATATTCAATCATGTTCAAGGAAACTGGAAATTATATGATAAGATTGTCTTTGTTTACTTATAACATTCTATAATAAAAAGCTTCTCCACCCAAACTGTTTGTATGGGATTCGTCCTTCTGTTTAATGCACACTGTGTAACACACACAGACGCACACACACACAAAAAGAGTACAGCAGAGGGGCTGTATAATTATACTATACTGTACATTGTACTTCACCTATACGCATTTAATGAAACGTTAAACTGAAAACAAAGATGCAAACATAGAATAAGTGTGGGAAAAGGGTTATTTCCAACCATACTGTCCTCGTATCAGATTATTCAATATATAAATTTGAATTAGTACTTCGCATTAATCACGCCTTTATTTTGAAAATACTACACTGGGTGTGCTGTAGTTGTGCTAGCCAGCAGAACATGGAAGCCTAAAGTAGCTCGAAAGGCAACTGTCAACACAATGACAGCTGGTTCCACAAGCAGAGACTAAAGTAGATCGGTAGATAGTAAAGTAGACTCTTTACGTCTAAGGTGAGCATGTTAGCATAGCGTGAGCTAGCCAGGAATTCAGTGGCTAACTCGGGTGTAGCCACAGTACAGACATAGCAATGCTGCAGAGAGGTTTGTTTCACATATACTTTGTCATAATAATAACACTATAACACGGGCCTATGTAGTCTGCACCAAGATGGCAGCAACTTTATTCACCTCTCTCTCTTTTTCGCATCTAGCCTTTTCAATAAAAGCCCCAGACACGCAGGGTCACTCAGAGCCTTCATTTAGTAACTAAAGAGGATAGCTTACAGTAAGAAAATCAATATGTTTCATTAGGCATACATTGAGAGCGCTTTGAATCGCATATCTTCTGACATTACCAGTGGAATAGATTCATACCACTCGCCCAAATCGTCACTGTAAAATGGAGGTTTGGTTTAAGACATTTAAATTGGACTTCACCCTATGAAACACTTTCATTGACCTGGTGGGGGGGTTCAAATGTGCCGTTGTTTCTGAAACAGAGAACTAAATGTCCCATGTTGTTTGAGTCTGTCACCAGTGGACAGAGAAAGGATCCACCAGCGGATCAGTCCAGAGACCAGGGAGAACGCCAGAACGCCCTGCTGGGGCTCAGCAGGGTCGGGGGCTCTGTACCCGTTCAGAGGCCCAATATATCAACCCTGCTGCAGGTGAGTTGGGCCAGGACTTTCCACAGATCTAAGGTTACATGTGCTGGACTAAGACCAAGTAAGGCAGGAAAAGCACTTAGACAGGGCAGGGCCTCGGACATCCGTCCTCTCATGCACAAGATCCTCCCAAAAAGAAAAAAATCAACCCCCCTCTTGACAACACACGAGTCAAAGTTCATGTTACGCAGTTTAGGTTAGTACTTGTCTGTCTGTTTTGCTCAGATTAATGTTGATATGTCTCACAGTAGACACAGTGAAAGGGATTATGGGAAGCACACAGACAGTGACTCAGCGATTTCTTTCCAAAAGAGCTGAACTGGTGTGCGTTGTTCGCAGGAGTGAGCATAGCTCTCAGGCTTATTTTGAGTGCAATGTGGACAGATTTTTAAACATTTGTTGACCAGTAAAGTGAATTCTATCAAGTATTTTATATTGTATTTGTAGTTATTCATTGATTAGTTCTGAGGATGAGGGGGGGGGGGGGGGGGATTTCTAAGGCAGTAGCACATCATTTTTAGTCTTGATTGAACAAATGAATAGTTGCAGAAAGTACCACCATGGGTTGCTCCTCGGATTCGTACTCTAGAACCAGTTGGGGGAAACAGAACAAGTGGTTTTTCCTGAAGATACCATATAGAACCGGACCATATATGGAGATGAAGGGGGCTAGAAAACCAGGATCTTTCCAGATGGAGGTCAAATATGAAGGGGCCAAGGGGGGGTTTTTAATTTAGTGTGGTTTCCAGCAGTCTGTCAGAGTCTCTGCGGTCGTCAGCGATTAGAAGGGATTGTGGTGTGTGGATGTGAGTGTGAATAGTTCTCAGCGCTGCAATTGGTTGGCGACCAATCCAGGGTGTACCCCGTCTCTCTGGGATCGACTCCTGAAGTTCATCTGCTAGACAGTAATGGAATAAATTCTTGTGTTTTTATTTTTTTTTTCGATTGCGGCCAGTTTAATTACAGTGTCTTTTGTGATGATTGAGTCAGCATGTGTTACCCAGGAGTGGGCAGAGTCAGGTTCATTTATTTTAGGATGCATTGTCTTAACTCTACTTAGCTAACGCTTTTATCCAAAGCGACTTTCATTGCATTTAACCCATCCCACACAGTGGGAGCATTGTGCATTGTACGCAAGCGCACCCGGGGAGCAGTTTGGTGTCTTGCTCAGGGACACTTCAACATGGGACATGGAGCGGCCGGGGTTCAAACCACCAACCCTGCGGACCCGGCGCAGCCTCTCTACTGTGTGAGTAATAATGGTTGACTCATCCAGCGGAGGAGGTCGTCGTTTATTGTATCGAGTGGAGTGAAGTTGAGTGAGAACAGCTCTGACACACCGGGGGAAATATTTATTCCTAAAATTAGAAATGAGTGCTTGTGATGACGTCACAGACTGATTCTTCATCTCTTGTCATCTGAATCCTCCACACAGCTCATTGTTCGGATCACTTTAGCCTTGTCACTGTTGCTACGGCCGCCCTTGCACATACTGTATCACAGCTGGTCTGGCTCCTGGAATTAGAAGGGAATTTAGATGAAATTTGAGGTAGACATGAAACTACTGTTCATGTCTTGACCTTGTATGGCCTCATTGGTTTCTTTTAAACAGAAGCAGGAAGTAATCCAAGTTCATTCCTCTGTTACTCTCTAAGACGGAACCTGCCTTTATTCAGGGCCAGTGGCCATCCTGCTGCATGCTACCTCATGCCACAGCACGTACTCCTGATACATACATCTGACTATCTTCTATTGTATTCATTCCGAAGCAGTTATTTAAGTGCTTTCTTTTTGGCCTTTGACTGCAATTTCTCTGTAAACTGTCATTCCTCCCGCTGACGTATAGAGTCCGTCAATCTGACTACTCTAGATTCCTTTATCCCTGAACAAAGAACTACTTTCATAAACATTTCTGTCCCAGAAACCCTTACTGATGAATGAAATGGAACCATTACATATGGATGTATGATATATATATGCTCCATTTTTAGGGAGTTCAGGTTCAGCCTGAGAGATCTTTAAGTACCTCGGCAATAGAGTCACTACTCCTTTGTCACCAAAGGGTCCAGTGGAAGCGCTTAATCAGCAGATCAGGTCACCAGCAGGTGAAAGACCCCAGGCAGGAAGGGACTATATATGCTCTGGCACCTCTGCGTTCATCAGGAAGAGCTGGAGAAGGCGTACAATGGAAAGGCTTTTGACCATCATACATTTCAGCTATGATGATATTGTGCTCAGCAAGTTCAGACGTTGAGATCCTTTTTGGCTTCTTCGTTGGGATGTCACTGTGTTATCAAATCCCTGCGGATTAATTTGGTGAGCATGTTTATTATATCTAATAAAAACAATGGCAAGAGCTTGAATCACATGGCCAGCAAAAGTTATCTGCAATCGGTGGCAGTGATGTGTATTATATAATACATTATGAGCGTTTGCAATGAACAACTCAATGTGTTACTTAACCCTTGCTTAATCCATGTCAATTTGTTTCCCTACAGGTTTTTACTTATATTATTATTATGACAATAGTCTTAAATTTCAGTGAATGACTGAATGTTCTTCCACAGAGAAGAGAGGATGTGAAAATGTTCATAGTTCAAAAGGTTCTGCAATTTGATCCCCCCCGAATACTGTTACCCACAAAACTTAAACACTCAAACTCCAAAATAAAATCAAGTAATTATCAAACTAACTCAACTTTTCTTTACGATTGATGGCGGTATAACACATGTACTGTGGTGTAAAACCCTGAAGAAGCAGCTACCATGTTATGAACAACATATGTGAAGAATCAGTGTAGATACTACTGATTATGACTGACTATGTCTGCCTGACGAGCTCAACATCACCACCTTCTCCCAGTTACTGAAGGACGCCACTCTGGGTGGGTCGACTGGTGAAGAACCTTCAAGAGGCTTAGGTCACGACCCCCCCGGGCCTCTGTCTCCCTCCACACTGACTGCATATACCAACTAAATATCAGCGATTAAGTGCGGAATTTAACCCGATAACTGCTTGCTCACATTCATCATCCTGCAATAGCTCCGCCCCCTGAGTTGCTGATCTCATTGAAGTATTTTAGTAGTATTCCACAAAGTGCTGTGATGGCTGGTGTAAAACACTTCAGGACACCTACTGTAGAGGCTACTGCTGGGTACTGTAGTTTCTCTGTCCTTAGAGGAGGTTATTGTGAGGGAGCCCCTACATTGTAGACTTGGCTCGGTTTGAGTAATTTGAGCTGGGAAGCTGATCTGGAGCTGTGGATTATTGATGCCTCAGAACCTGAGCAGGGAACACACATGAAGAGCTCAGAGATAATATCAATATCCCGAACTTCTGAACGTGTGTGTGTGAGCTCTAAACTCCGTCTGCAATGGGATGTCAGCGATGACCTCAGCGGGAATTGTGGGGGGGGGGTTTGTTCATCTGATGGTAGAGCTCCCTGCTGGGCCGTCCTCCTGGCCGGCTGCTGAATCAGCCTGATCAAAGTTTGATGAACATAGTAACATTACACAGGACAGATAACACTGTGGAGTGCTGATGTTCCGCTGGTCCTCCACATGATGGGACGGGGAGGGGATGGGGGGGAGGGGTCCAGGACCAGATGTGTTTGTCACGATTGTGTTGTTATGATCTGATTGTTATGCCAGACGCATATTATCGCAGGTTCTTGTCAAACACAAGGTGCACCGAAGTTCTTTTTTTGATGTTGGTAGGCAATAAACAAACGTGTGCTAATGTTATCTTAACAGAAAAACCATGTGGAGTTAGTTTTACAGTTTGAATGATACAAAATGATCCCTATTACTTCATTCATTTGTCTTCTGCTGTTTCTTTCCAAATCAGTACCCACAATAAAATATCATCGCTGGCTACTTTATGTTCAGCTCTATGAGTTCCTGGTGCTCGGTGTTTCCTTATAACATAAAAGTGTTTCCCTAAATAAATAAATCCTAAAACAATGAACCGACTGTATCGGGATGCCTTATCGTACTGCCACAACATACCACAAGCACCCCAAATAGGGAGCTGGAGGAGGGAGGAGGGAGGAGGGAGGACTGAGGATGGGAGGAGGGAGGAGGGTGGAGGGAGGAGGGGAGGAGGGGAGGAGGGAGGAGGGCGTCGCAGAGTGGACTCTCTGGCATCAGTTGTTGCTGACTTTCATCACTTCGGCGTAGCAGGCAGAGGGACCTGTTCCAGCTCTGCAACAGCACCGGCCCAGACTCAGGGATGATCCCACAACAGGTCAGACACACACAGCAATATGACAAAAGGCTGCTCCAGCTTCCTCTGGCTGGTTTTACTTTACTCGTGAAGGGCTTTAAGTTACGGACAGTAACTTGTGTAGCGGGGAACTTTAGCTCCGTCTTTTTGCCATCAGCCAAAAATGTTCATGTTATCTCTGACTATATTTATCTAGATGGGAGAGAACACAGCCTTAGTGTCTCTGTGGAACCAAATTAATATTTCAATTCAAAACCCTTGGACTGCATGTTGTGTGTTTTTGTCTGCTCTTCGTCTATGTCATGTATTTGCTGCTTGTTTTATTATTTACCGTGGTTTATCATTTGCCTTGTTGTTTGTGACCCAGTAGAAGCTTAATAATGGCATTACTGACAGCTGAGAAAAAGTAGTTTTAATCAAATGATATGTTTTTGTACATAACACAGAACTAAATGAGATAAGCGTTTATTAGCAGTTTGACTAGCACTCAGTTGGTTTAGGTCACAAGTGAAAGGAATGCTGAGGCCAGGACAGGGATTTGGAGAGATTAGTTGGCTCTTTAGGAGTGTGACACCAGGACAAAACAACAAAAAGTGTGGGACAGCAAAGAATGCAGTGAAAACATAGCAGTAAAAGAACATTCAGCTTAGCAACAACAACACAAGGCTGAATGACATAAAGCAGACATCTAATGAAACCACACCCAGAGATAGAGTTATGCAGGGGGCACTGCTACTAGAACCGTAAACTCCAGATAAAAATGTATCCAAGCAATTTTTGTTAGCATTTTACCGTAGTAAAATGTACCTGTATGTAAGCAGCTATGTTACTGCAGCCAAATGTTCTCTAGAATTATTTAAGAATGTAAGAATCTAATTTTATCATCCATCCATTTTCCTTTGCTTACCCGGGGTTGTCCTGCGGTGTCAGCAGGCCCAGCAAGGTGCTTCCCTTCCCTCTCCCCGCCACATTTTCCAGCTCATTCTGGGGTCTCCCAAGATAGATATAATATAATCCCTTCAGCGTATGCTGGGTCTTCCCCGGAGTCTCCTACCTGTTGGACGTACCCGAAAAAACTCAGTATCCAGGCGTCCGGGAGGCAATGTACTTAGATGCCTGAACTACCTGAACTGACTTCATTCAACACGAAGGAGTAGCGGCTGAACTCCAAATTCCATCCTGATGTTCAAGCTCCTTACCCTATCTTTATGCCTGAGCCTGGCCACCCTACGGAAGAAACTCATTTCGGCCGCTTGAATACGTGGCCTCGTTCTTCGGTCAAGACATACAGTATAGTTCGTGACCATAGATGAGGGTCGGAACGTAGACGGCCTGCTAAATTTAGAGCTTTGCCCTCTGCCTCAGCTCTCTCCGTTGGTCCGGTGCAGTGCCTGTTTTACATCTAATCCGCATGTCGATCTCCAGATCTATCCAACTCTTACTCTGGAACAAGACCCCGTAATACTCCATCGCTTGCGGTAGGTAGTCTGTCCCCACCCGGAGAGCGCAATCCACCAGTTTCCGGCAGAGCACCGCGGCCTCAGATTTGGCGGCGCTAACCCTGATCCCTTCCGTTTCACAATCGTGACTCCCAGTGAATAATGGAGGTCACCTGACGTTCTCCTCCTCCCCGCTCCGCTGAGATATCTTTCCCATGAAAGCCACAGACAGGACTGGTGATAAAGGGCAGCCCTGGCGGAGGCCAACAAAGACCAGTAACCTGTCTGAATTATTGCTGAGGATGCGAACACGGCTCCCAATGCAGTCACACAGAGACGGCTCATTGGTTTGACAAACGGTGGGATCCTCCCTCACAACACTCTTTGAAAAATGGGAACCACCACTCCGGTCTGCCAGTATATTGTTCCCGATCCCCTTGCAACAGTGAAAAGGCTTGTCAACCAAGAGAGCCAAACAATGTCCGCGTCCTCTGCAGTTCAGGAGGAATGTCATTCACCCATAGCGCCTCGCCCCCAGGGAGCTTTTTGACCACCTTAGCAACTTCTACTGAGGGACACAGACTCCCTCAGTTTCTCCCTTATGTCCCAGTAAATACAAACCTTACAAAAGAACGCATTGTTATAAACTGCATTTGTTGTCTCATCTTTTCGTCGCAATAAGGAAAAGAAAAAGAAACAGATGGCCAATGCATATAGTTGAATGGTAGTCAAAGCCCCACAATGGATGAAGTGATGATAACTTTCGTGGTTGTGGAATGTCTAATGCAATCAATCATTTGTTTAGCTGATGAACTTACCATCATGTCTGAATGTCGAAAATAAACATTAAAAACGTGCTTCTTTTCTTCAGATGGCAGAAGTGTGAGAAAACAGGGAATGGCTTCCACAGGGGTCGGCCTCCGTAAGTCTGGTTAAAATGGTATTATGGTTTGATACTTGTGTAGGTGTAGCTTTACACTTATATGCAGACATGACTCTAGTCTGGGCATTCTTAAACATACAAAACATACGTAGTAAGATTTCAAATATTGGTTAACATTTTGTATCACATATGTAAGTAGAAGCTTTGTATGGAAGTCCAATTCAATTTGTTTAACTTTTAGCTGTGGAATATGCAGTCTGACCAAATCTCACTTGAAAAGGAAAAATCTATTGTTATGTCCATGTTTGAAATGGCATAATTTCTGCCAAAATGAAGATTGAAATTGAAAACTCCATGAACATAGGGCTTTTAGTGTACTCCAACAGTGGAAATGGACTCTTCATACTCAAAATGGTTGTGCATCTAAACTGTTTTTAAAACTAATAAAAAAACGTCATTCTCTGTCCAGGCGTTCAGGGGGACGACAACCTCCAGTCCATGCTTGTGGGATCGGTAATGAGGAAAGTCAAGTCTCGTACCTGGAAGAAGCAGCGCTACTTCAAACTGCAGGATGACTATATGACCATCTGGTACAAGTCCAAGAAGGCTGGTAACACCCACTCCACATGTAAGATCACGTCATTTACTGATTCAAAATTTGACCATGACTATCATGGTAACTACAGTGGAAGCCACTAAAAAAAGCAGCATAAGTGCTCTCTTTGATGGCCTTCAGATGTGTAGGGTTTCCTACATGACATCATTCACTCATTCATACAGTGATGACAGGAGCTACCATACACAGTGACAACTGCCCATCAGTAACTAACATTCACGCACTGTAGTCACAGTAACAGGAGCAATGTTGGGTTAAGTGTCTTGCCCAAGGACACATCATTCTTGAATTTCCCGTAGGGGATTAATAAAGTACTTGGGTTAGCCGGGCCTGGGATCGAACCACCAACCCTCTGATTGGAGGACGACGAGGCTCCCAACTCACCCACAGTCGCCCGTCTGATCATCACTGATCGTCATTACCTGTATCCGACATATTATAATTAGTTCTCCATCCTGTGTTTTTTTGTGACCAGTTTCAGTGAGTGATTTGGAGGCAATACGAGATGGACACCAGTCCGAGGTCCTGCTCAGCATCGCTGATGAGTTCCCGGCTGACCGATGCTTCACTCTGGTCTTCCGTGGTCGCAGGGGAAACCTGGACCTGGTGGCTGAGTCAGCCGATGAAGCACAGTCCTGGATCAACGGCATGAGGACGCTGATCGAGAACTTGGAGAACATGGGGGAGCGGGAGAAACTGGATCAGTATCTTTCACCCAGGGTTTCAGTTATCAATGCCTTCAAAAGTGTTTGCTGACTGCCTTGCCAACCTCTACACGCCTTTTCATTCTCTCATTGGTTTGAGTTGTGCTCATTAGCAAAATGATACAGTTAAATATACTAAATAGACTAAATCAAATAAATAGTCAATACATACGGAATTGCTAAGACCAAAGGGCCATTACAATCAGAGATTGTATTCCCTTTGTACCATGGAGCTTCCACAGAATAATGACTCTTATGATATATACCCAGTGGCGATGTTCAGTGTCAGTGTAGGAAGTAGTACATACGACTTGCTCGTCAGGTGGAACGTAAGGCTGTGGAGGTCAGGCTGGTGGATGGGTGACTAGCTCATTCACTTCTTGTCAAATACTCCTGTGAGACTAAATGAGACGAAAACATGAGATCAAAGAAATGAAACAGAGAGGTAAATTAAATATCAATGGTTCCTGGGGCACCTTCTTGGAAGATGCATCTTTTGATTCATGATAGAGGCAGCCGCTGCTTGAAGAAAGGAGTAAATATACAGTTTGTTATGCAGTGTGTCATTCTTCATTGAGTATCAAAGCTCTAAGTAACTCAGTCGAGTAGTTCAGCCACTATTGAGTGTGAAGCTTTCCTGAAGTAGCCTACCCAGATGGATTGGTGACTGGTTCAGGAAGGCAGACAAGAATAATGACGGCAGGATGAACTTCAAGGAAGTGCAAGATTTACTGAAAATGATGAATGTGGACATGAACGAGCACCACGCTCATCGTCTCTTCACAGTGAGAGCCTTCAGACTTAATACCTAAACTATGCTTGCACGGATTCAAGCATTCAACATCTACTGTTTTTGGTTTCTATGGCGGCTGTAACCCCTCTTGGATTTTAATGTGTTTATCCATAGAGCAACCATGTCATCCTTTCTCTTCTCAGATGGCTGACAAGTCCCAATCTGGTATGTTGGAAGACGATGAGTTTGTGCTCTTCTACAAGATGTTAACCCAGCGGGAGGATGTACTGAGGGTTTTCCAGGCGTACTCGGTGGATGGCCAGAAGTTACTCCAAAGTGACTTGGAGGACTTCCTGAGAGAGGAGCAGCTGGACGAGATTGACATGCAGCCGCATGCCAAGCAGCTTATCGAGCGCTACGAGCCCTCTGACACAGGTACATGGACTGTGCAGTATATCATGTGACTTTGGTCTAAGATTGTGAAGGCCTGTCTCTTAGCACTGAAGGTGCCAGCAAGATGTGAAAAGAATCTGACACCTTCTTACTGTATTTCCAGCCAAGCTGCTGAATGCCATGACGTTTGACGGCTTCTTGATGTACCTTGGCTCAGCTGAGGGCTCCATCTTCAACCCACAGTGGCGGGGTGTCTTCCAGGACATGAGCCAGCCGCTGTGCCATTATTTCATTTCCTCCTCCCACAACACCTACTTGATGGAAGACCAGCTCCGAGGGCAGAGCAGTGTGGAGGGATACATCAGGTGATGATGCTATGTTAACGGGTGGAAATGTCTTTGTAATGTTTGTTTCCACTAGTAGCAAAATATGCATTTGCACAGTAAATATTTTAACTAAAAGGGTGGTTGATGGGTAAAGGCGGTTATTAATGTGTCATCATCCAATAGCCCAGAACGCTCGGTCACATTGGTGGCAGCGGCGGTTCATGCAAACCGACTACGGAGCACGACGTGAGTGCGCACTTCCGTAGTTTAACTCAGGATCAAGATGAACTTGGAGCTGAAGATCCGTTTAACAGCTCAGGATTGTTCACAGACGGTCGGCCAGCAGAGATCCATGTGGACCTGCCTGCTCCGTTTTCTAAAATAATAGACAAGGTTAAGGGGGTGTCTTTTGTAGTTGGGACAAGCAATTTCACAGTGGAAACAATAAAGGACAATGAAATTTCTGTTGGCCATGTCAAAAGCATTGCGACTTAATGAGCAACAAAATACCCCTTCACCAGTTGTATGCAATGAGCTACTCTTTTTGTCTTTGTCTTAATCAGTTGCATACGTTTTCAAACCAAAGGAGCTTTACATACTTGGTAAAGCTCATTTTGTATAAGTAAAACATGTTATGTAGTCTTGATTTGGGTGTTTCCAATGATCATTTACATTTGAGGTTTTAAAATCTACTTTAAATGAATTAAACTCGATATATATATATATATATTGTACCATCCTCTGACCCTTAGTGGGAAGATAAAACCATAAATGAAAGATGGAATTTGTTATGCTCTCAGGGCTCTCAGTCGTGGCTGTCGGTGTGTAGAAGTGGACTGCTGGGATGGTGCCAACGGAGAGCCCATTGTCTATCACGGACACACTTTCACCTCGAAGATACTCTTCAAGGATGTGGTTAACGCATTGGAAAACTATGCCTTCAAGGTTAAATCCCATTTGTGGTTGTGTCACTTAATTGAGTGTAGAAGTGAATACATCAAAACATCTAGTCAGAAAGCAGGATTCTGAATATTGGCTTTCTGATTTTCACTTTGGTGAACAACCCAATTCTTCTTTATGAAGAAGTTTTATTAATTTCGCATTAGTCGCACACCTAGCAAGAAGATGACTAAAATTGTTCAAATAGGGCTTTTCAAGTAGACCAACCATGTTGTGTAATTGCAATTGCTTTTGCTATAACTTGTCTAGTAAAGCTGTGTCAAGCTAATCGCACAACATCTCATTGGGCATTTATGAGAGAGGAAACAACAGTGCAATGAAACCTAAGACATCATCTGAAAGCCCAAAATGTAGTCGGCTAGCCAGGCATCTGCCAGAGTGCAAGCCTTATGCATATGATTGGACAGCTGCCAGGTTCACATGCATGACAGGGCTGGTTGAGTCTGAGAATCTATCCCCAGTGAAAATTGAGGCCTCGTGACCCCTTGTAATGAGACTTTCAACCAGTCAGCACATCTCACATGTATGGCAAGAGGTGTATTAGCTTTCCCTACCATAATGCTCTCCAGTGTTGTATTACCGTCTCCCTGCCTCCTCCTCTCCCCCACAAAAGGTATCAGAATATCCAGTCATTCTGTCGATCGAGAACCACTGCAGCGTTGAGCAACAGAAAGTCATGGCCCAACACCTCAACCACATTCTCGGAGACAAACTGCTGAAAAGCACACTAGAGGGCAAGGCCCCCGTTGAGCTGCCGTCTCCTGAGGTGAGCAGCGTAGTCCATTGTCTCCAATCGTGGATATGTGGTTACTGCAGAGCCTCACTAACCCACAAGCGTTTTTAGGTGCCTTGATCAGAAAACATGAGATTCTAGAAACCAGACAGATTTGGCTTCCCTCCTGAGTTCCCATGTAGACTCATTAAAATGTGACCGTGACAGCATGCAAAGGTGTGCCATATTTTTCTCAGAAGCCAATCGGAGCAGACTGAGCTTTTCTGGAGGCGGGCTTAAAAAAAGATCGCTTTAGACAATCAGTGTTTTGTGAACATTGTAACTTGTAACTTGTTTACTCTGTAAAGTAAGTTAACAGTTTTGAGAAAATAAATAAAATACGAAGTACTATTCATTCACTTATTTCTCAAAACGGTTGTTTTTCTTGTTTATCTAATCAACAAGAGTAACGGAAATAAAAACTGTGGTTTCACAGAACTTTTTAAATGCAGCTCATTTGTGTTATCTAATTGCAATGGATCCATTTTGAATCGTGAATCAGATTTGATGTGTAACGTAATATTGACATGTAAGTGTTTTATGTTGTCAGCTATTCACTGTTCTGTCGTCTACACATTAGCAAAGAAACCAACACGTGTGTCTCACACCAACAAATACATACAGTCCATTCAGTGACTGAAGTGTGCTCATCATGGTTGTTTGCGACTGGTATGTGGCAGTGGTGTTAGCAGTGTGTAGCTGCTGCCTGTTTAGGCTGCCTGATCCCTTCAACCCTGTCAGAGAGCACCTTCGCTTTCCCCCCCCACAGCCTGTCAGAGCCTTTGATCTTTGATTTGATCTTCCTTCCAGGATCTGAAGGGTAAGATTCTCCTGAAGGCAAAGAAAATTGGTGGTCTGGAGGAGAATTTCAATGGGACGGTGGAGGACCCTCAGAGCGGAGAGGTCAGTGATGAAGACGAGGTGGCTGAAATCAACGAAGATAATCTCCACCGTGAGAGCATCTGTCGGAGAATAAAGGTAGGTCAGCTTGTTTAGTACACAGCGGTACACCTCTTAGGCCTCACACACAGACACCATACTATCCACAGTCTGATAAACCAGCCTAGAAAATCAGGATCCTCTAGTTTTCTCCCTTTAACGCTAATGATGCAACACTGGGGCATGGATGAACCACTTAGACCACAAGATTAAGCTGATTAAAGTATGACGAACTAAATGCATCTTATTGATTACAGTTGGTAGGTTTTCGTGGTGCAGTCCAGGTTTTTTGCTTTAGACCTCCAACAAATGTGGGATGGACTGAAAGGTTGATGAACCAATGTCCAGGTGCCGTGGAGGGAGACACTGAACCAGCTATATTTTCTATATATATATATCTTCACACACAGGATAGAGATAACTGACGGTAGTGATACTCGCATATTTACATTTACACAAAGCTCAATTGACTCGAGATTTATTCGGAAATGGTTGTTTTAATGATCCAATTACATATTACTTGTCATCTCCATTAAACACTGATATGCAAACAGATTTCCCATTTCTTAAATTATAATTTAAAAGACAATAAACATCTATGGGCTTTTTGTTACTGGTAGCCATCTTGTGTGTGTTAGTAAACAAAGAATCCCGGGAATTGTCTTCTCCATTTGGAGTCTGAATCTGACAACGCACAGCTTTGAGAGCCATCTTAAAGGGGAAATATTATGAAAATTCCACTTTTTTAATGCTTCTACTCGTTAATTTGGGTATCTGGCATGTCTACCAACCCAAAAACTCAACAAACAACTCCTGTTATTTGTTATGGTTCTTGTAAATCAGAAATGTCATGCTTGATTAACTGAGAATGAACTTCCTCAACATTGTGTCGCCACAATGTAATGGGAGTGTCTCTTACATGGCCTTGCCCCCCACACTCACTATAGATACAATATTTGCCGAAGCACTTCACTCCGTTTTTGCAAACCTCGGATAGACTTGGAATATCTAGCTAGCAGCATGGAGCAAATGAAGCCATTAAGATGCGCTGTGGTCGGCTGCACAGATCCGCACTACGGTGACCGTATCATGACGCCAAAAAGGAGGCTGTAAATCAGGGGTGTCATTTCAGGTTTGGGGGCGGGGCGCAGACGTTTATTTAAAGGAACAGGCACTCAAAACAGGTCACTCTGTGGAGGGCAGTTTTAGACAGGGTAAAAAGGGTGCTGTGGTATTTTGACCAAAGTATGTTAGACATTTCAGTAAGACCCCAAGGAACCATATCAACTTGTGGTAAAATGGGCATACGATGGGTCCTTTAAGGCCTGGACGTCTTTCACAGAGTATTCCTCACGCACTATACAGAAAAACAATCATCAGAGGAGCCCGGCCTATTTCAGGTTTTCTCTGGTCTCTTTTTCATAATAAACCATTCAACATTCAACCTTTAACTCAAGCTCTTCTATGATATGCTGCTTTCATTTAATTCTACATCAAGACACAACTGTAACGCATCACAGGAGACAGGAGTCAACCCAAGCACAGAGCGCAGATTTAATGAATAACAGGTACACAGGGATTAGGCTTAGTCGTATCCAGAAGACAGGCAGGAGGTCGAAATCCAGGAGCACGGAGAAGGGCAAAGGCAACGAGGTCTGGAACAAAAAGGGGTCTTCAAGAGTACAAAACAGGATATGCAAAGAACGCTCAGAATGTGATGATAATTACACGAGACTTCGCAAAGAACACACAGGGATAAGGGGTATATGTACAGACCAGCTGGATGGGGAACCAGACACAGGTGTGTAGGGATGAGTGGGCGTGCACAACAGACAGACACACAGTGGAACAAACCAACACAAAACGGGACAGACCAACTGGAGAGTAAACAGGGGGGGAGTTTGGGGGACCAGATATTGAAGGCCTCAGTACTCCGGGGAGGGGAGCGCTGTATCGTGACAACAACCATCTGCCGTTACATTCATTTTGTTGTATACAGTACACATTTACTTAATGAATGTTTTTCAGCACATTACATCAGACTTAACTAACTGACAAAGACGTGTGTTGTTGTTTTGGTGTGTGTTGCTAGTGTGTGTTTTGCAGTAAGCCACTCTGAAACGCCCAGAAATCTGGTTGCCTTTTTATCCAGCGGAAAAGGATTGTGTGAACTCCTGTCATTCCTCATGAAATATACACAGGATTTAACGGCAGCGAGTAGACTGAGTGTTAGATGAGGTGATCTGTTTACACCGTGAAGGCAGAGAAACACGCAGTAGCAGGCACGCACAATTAAGCAAAGAATGACTGAGGATTTAATACTGTCAACCATTCGTGACCTCGTCTTCCACATTTGAACTTTCAAGACTATTAAGACATCTTCCACCACTGGACCTGTCACATGTGGCTTACTGCTAAAAGACTTATAATGTCTGAGTTAGTGATCGCTATAGAAATCAAATAGTCATTTCACCCAGCAGCTTCATTCCGAACATTTTAAAAGACTAACTTACAAAGCCAACCTCAAATATTGTATCAGTACGACTTCAACTCATTAACAAGGTTCATCATTTCAAATAAACATGTACATATTGTTAAGCTTTCTGCGGCCAATTTGTGATTCTGGGCAACTAACCCTTTGCACCAGGCTTTTTAGCTACTGATTGTTTTGACAAATATCCTTTAACTCAAGGTCCACTTGCAAGCCTTTTCTGTAGCTTTCTACAGTTTTTACTTTCTTCATCACCACATGCTCACACCCCATTCAGACAGACCTCAGGCCTGTGTGTGTGGGGGGGTGGGGGGGTTCCAATGCAGGGGGCTATAGCTCAACAATTGCTGCACAGCATACGCCAAGGTTGTGCCTTCGGTCAGTTGAGTTTTCATTTAAGTTGTGACAGTTGGGCCAGAGGACAAGTTATTGTTCTGACTCTGGTGTTGGTTGAACTTGTCCTTTTGTGTTCATGCCACTGCTTTACAGGGAACGCATGCTGCTGCTTTCCCCCCCCATTACCGTGTGTATTGTATATGTAAAAGGAATTTACATATCTTTGATACAGCATTTAAAGATAACCCTTGATGTGTAGAAAAGGAATCATTGGGCACTTAGGGTCATGTTTATTGATAAGCATCTGAGAAGCATGAAACGCCACACTGGGACTCCTGTCAACACGGTCATGAGAGGTGAGGCCAGCGGCGAGTCTGGCAGCAATGTGAGCTCGGTAGTGCACCTGCTGATGGTGTAGGTGTCTTGCTGTCTGGTAGACAGGTGAAGGTGGAGCAGCTAGATCAGCTTTCATGTGGAAGCAGGCAGGCATGCATGCAGAGGTGCTCTGCAGGTTACACTCTCATTGTGTTGTTTAGGACGCCACACCTCGATCAGACAGTCATGGAGCCGCTCTGGCAGCACACCTGCTTTTGCTTGGCATTGTGGTCGAGTATCACTTACACAATTCAAGAGGGGGCTTTCTCAGGGCTTCCATGGCCCCTGTGCACCCATCCGTTACAGGATTCCTTTCCATCACCAGGGTTTACCCTCTCATGTGATGGTTCAACTGAGTCTACACACAGCCAGTTCACGGGTCAACCTCAAGAGCCTTATGTGACTCCAATCTGGTATCGACCCAGAGATGCTCAAATGTTCTCTGTGTCTTCTTCAAGGTCCATCTTCGCTCTAGACATTTTCATCTATCCTCCGTCCAACTGATAAATGGCCTGTACTTGTATAGCGCTTTTCTAGTCTTCTGACCACTCAAAGCGCTTTAACACTACATGACATCATTCACCCATTCACACCCATTCATACACTGATGACAGGAGAACCATACACTGTGACACCTGCCATCAGTAACTACCATTCACACGCTGTAGTCGCAGCTACAGGAGCAATGTTGGGTTAAGTGTCTTGCCCAAGGACACAACGACATGCGGGTTAACAGAGCCTGGGATCGAACCCACAACCTTCTGATTGGAGGACGAACGTTCATGGTGTTTCCATGAACCAAACCAACCCGCTTCATGCCAAAAAAAACACATCTTGTATACCTTTGTGGATACTCCAGTGAGTTTTCATGCCACAGGAAATGTTTACTGTGTGTCCGATACTCCCTACCTGTTAGCTGTTCCTATAATCCCGCCTATTCTCTGTTACCTGCGTTCCATTTCTGATTGCTATAACCTTGTTGATCCTTAGCACAGCTGTGTAACTGGTTGATGCAAGATATTCGCCCCCATGTTCTACTTTTCACTTTCATATACCACTGATGCCATCCAGTGGGACACAAGATGTTTTGGACCAAATAGTACGCAAATGTCTCCAGTCGAAATATATCTCCGACCGATCCTTTTTGTGCCCCGAGGAAAAAAACGCCAACACAGCAAGCTTCTTTGACTAGTGGAATGTTGCTGCTGTTCATCTGGCATAAAAATGTCATTTCATTCACCCTCCAGTAATACATAGCACTCAACACTGGCATACGGTACACCTGTTGACTATAGGTATAGAGGGCGCATCCCTCTTTAAAAGCTTCACCCAACTTCTTGCACACCCATTTAAACCATGAACATGTTGGGACACCCGATCATAAACTGTGAGTTAATCAGCGCATTACCTTTTTATCTTCTATCTTCCTTTTTCCACAGAGGTCGACCCAGCGTCTGTCTAAGGAGCTGTCGGACTGTGTTGTTTACTGCAAAAGCGTCCAGTTCAGTAACTTCAAACACTCCCGCATCCACTCCAAGTTCTATGAGGTGGCTTCTTTCACGGAGTCCAAGGCCCGCAAGCACCTGAGGGAGGCTGGTAAGTCCAGGTTCATCGTTGCTCTCTGCTCTACATCATTATGATAGATACCGTCAACACTAAGGTCAGACTAATACCGTGTACATATTTTGCTTTCCACAAAACAGATATTTTGTTTAAGTTTTGAGAAGCAGTAGTACATTTTGTCAAGCAATACGTATCCTTCTTGTGCTGTTATCACCAAAAACTGGAATGTATAAGGACCTTGGTCTTTCACTGTCTTTCTGATATCGTCTCCTTTTCAGGGACCGAGTTTGTGCACCATAACTCACGGCAGCTGACCAGAGTTTATCCCAGTGGCTTCCGAACAGACTCCTCCAATTTCAATCCGCAGGAAATGTGGAATGCTGGGTGCCAAATTGGTGATTGCAAGCAAAATGGGTTCACAGATTAGACTTTCTTTTTAAAACAGCCCTCCATCCTTTAACTATTTCCTTTTTTATTCTGTCATAGTTTTGTTACTAGTATTACTGCACGGGGCTACGGCTTCAGTACTTACCGTATATATTCTTCACTTAAATTGGAGGCAAATTTGTTCTCACAAACAGACAATAAAATTTACAGCAAAAATAGGAATAATGCTTTAGGACTCGAAGCAGCGTGGATTATGTGCTTCATCCAAGCTCAAACATCGTGCTCTTCTGTCTCTGATACTTTGGACAAGAGCCAAATAAGTGTAACGAAGACATTTGGTGTCTCTCTCCTTTTGGTATTGTTCGGTATACAACAAGAATAACTCGGAATACATGTTTAAATATAAGCCCCTTGCAGCAAAATAGCACTTGTTCCCAAACATGATGTGTTGTGAATATACATTTCAGTATATTATGTATGAGTATGAGTCAAAAGATAATCTTCTTTTTGGTTTTATTCAGTTGCGTTGAACTTCCAGACGGCCGGGGAGGGGATGGATCTGAACGACGGACTGTTTGGGCAGAATGGGAGCTGTGGCTACGTGCTAAAGCCCAGCTTCATGAGAGAGGTCGGCAGCAGATTTGACCCTGAGACACCGCAACAAAGGGATTGCTACCAACCTGTGATCCTCACCATACAGGTACAAACAATAAAGAAAACACAAAAAGTGTGTGTCCCTGCCGTTATTAGCTATTTCATGGCTTTAATGGAGACACTGTATTTATATTTTGAAGGTGATCAGTGGTCAGCAGCTCCCCAAAGTCAACGTTAAAGAGGATTCAATCGTGGATCCTCTGGTCAGGGTCGAGATCCATGGTGTTCCTATGGACCAGGCCAAGCAGGAGACCAGATACATTGAGAACAATGGTGCAGAAAAGGCTGTTGGCTTGTACACTTCTGAACACATAGTTACAACTGGACACCCAAAGTATTATGCAGTTTGCTGCAGCAGAATAAAAGATTACCCACAAACAGACAGGGGCGTGCACTCAATCGTGCACACACAGGGCTGGGATGTAGATCCTGCTGGTGGAAATAATGAATGGATGAATGGATGCACAGAACGGGTCATTTTGCTTTAATAGATAGCTATGTCTCTGAGGGGCATCGCACGCTGATATTGAAGGATCTGTCCTTTCTGCAGGATTCAACCCTGTGTGGTACGACACTCTGCGCTTCACCATCCACACTCCCGAACTGGCCATGGTTCGATTTGTGGTGGAAGACTATGACAAGACATCTAAGAACGACTTTGTGGGGCAGTATACGCTCCCCCTCAGCTGCGTGCAGCAAGGTGAGCCTGCTTTCGCTTCCATACATGCACTGTCAAATGATTGGCTCATTTTGCTCACATTTCCATTAAAATATATTTTGCCACCTTGCAAAGAAGAATCAGAGTCAGAGATATAGACTTTCCCATCTATAGCTATAATGGAATGTGAACGCTAAGTCGGAGATGCAACGTCATCTTTGATTTCTGAAGCGTAATCGTTCCGTGTTCATTCAACTGAAAATGTTTGATCCTTGGGGCAAAAATCTTGTGACGTCTGGCTCAGATTACTGCTGCCATTTCACCAGGAGGCATTTGCGACGAAACCCACATTGTTGTTAACTTAGGAGACGCAGAATCCATGGGCGGTTTCTGTACATACTGCAGAATACATGGTTAGGCGCACTTTATGCATCCCCTTCCATCTCTTTATGGAAAACTCCCACTTTACCCCTGATCCTCCAGTGAATGCATATCTATGACACGGAAAAATGCAATTTGCCTTTTTTTAGTTCCTGTGAGAGGCAGTTTGCAATTTTACCTCACTGCGGCTTGTTTGAACACACCTCGCCTATTATGTGCACAATACTCCTGAAGTGGGCGCAAAAGCGTTTGTATATGAGGCTCTGATTTCCAGGTGAGGGAACAGGAGGTGTAAAATGTACGAAGTAGTTTGGATGGTGCAGCCCTTTGAAGTTGTGAGCAGCTGCTGCTTTGTGACTGTAATCTTAAAGGAAAAAAGTAACGCGTGTGATATTGTCGTGTGTTCTCAGGTTATCGGCACATTCACCTGTTTTCCAAAGATGGAACCAGAATTCCTCCTTCCTCCCTATTTGTGCACGTCAGGATCACAGAGCTGGAGTAATCCCTCCTGGGTGGGCAACATCCCGAGCACATGTTATTCAATTCCTAGAGAAGACTTATTCCTTCTGATAGGAAAATACTAATAGCTCCTTGATTATTATCTCATTCTTATTTGATGTGAATACATATTATGCCAAATCTTGTAGAGGTCCAGTGGCAGCGGATGGACATGAATTATGCATGTTTTTTTGTTTTGCTCACTTTAGTGTGCGTACCCCGTTCCTGTGATTCACTTGAACTTTGCTGCTCATGTTTGGTGTACTAGTATTTGTATGTTTCTGCTGGATTATTCTGTTGTAGAGAAGAATGTGCCACCAATGTTTTAGGTCCAGGATGTATATTTCCTGTCAGTATTTTCTCTTTGACGAACAACACTTCATCACCTAAAAAGAAAATCCCAATCAAGTGGAATGCACACGCTGTTTCTACAATCTCTGGTGACATCAAAAAGAAGCTGAACTAAATGGAGGTCCAAACTCAGCGACAAATCATTTTAAATCTAGTTTCAGACATATTTCAGAAGGAGACAACAAGCACCGGCGTTAAGGGCTGTGGTCACATGGTGATGTATTTGAGGAATAACTTTAAACTTGTTGTACTCCACCGCTGTCCATGAGGTAGTCATTTGAGAAAGATATATTATCTCAAGTACTTTTAGGCCAATATGATAAAGTTTTTAGAAATGATAATGAATCAGTCCGTCTATAGAACATTTAAACCGAACAAAAACAAATATAATTCACCAAATTCCAAAAACCAAATGCATTCTGAATATCCCACCACGATTACGGACTCTTATGATTAGTTTTTCGGAGGTGCGCGTTATTTCAGCTCCCTCCCTTCCACAGCATTCTGCTGTCGCTGAGCATCTACAGTGGCGCTACGGAGAGCGAATGGCGCCTCCCAGTGTCCCCAGTGACTGTTTGAGTGTTTCCCTGCTATTTCCATTAACACCAGACTCTTCTGCATGTTGCTCATTTGGAAAAAGGCTGCTGTGACTGTAGTTCGGCTCTGTAGACTAAAGACAGACATGCTGAACTCATGTGTCATCTGATGTTATTTCATGGAATGTACATATATTACCTATTACCTGTGCATATGTGTTTTGATATGTCTATTTTTGTATACTTGGAAAACTTCGTATGAATTGTACAGCATAGCACATTGTAGTGTTCATTTGTTGTTGTTTTTGTAGAACCCTTGTATTAATTTTCCATTATACCTGCAAATAAATATGTTTGTCATTTTATGATGCAACTATTTCATCATTCTTCTATATTCTACATATATAATTCTAGTCCTGCTACTAATGCACAGGGATATTTATTCCTCCACACAGCACAATTTTCCATTATACTCTGGCGGTAAAAGCAATGTGCTATTATATAAGTGGGACATGTGGTAGAATAATACCATAACCATGTCCTGGGGTCCTAACCCACCACTGCATTCAAAATCCACATGAGCATTCCTATCCTGAGCGTACCAGTGTCAAATGTTAATTGCGGCATTCGCTTTGTATGATAAATGTATAGCTTATGTAAAAATAGTTTGTCAAATGTACATGTAACTTTCTGTGACCAAATTGAATGCTATAACATCCATTGACGTGTTAAAGTATTGGAGATCTTCTTAGGACTCAAAATCACAGAAATCACATATCCAGCTAATCAAACAAATATGTATTTTGCGCAAATTCCGACGGAACACACTTATATTTTTCGACAGCCAAATGTTAGATCATATATTATTGATATCGATTCAATCATGTCGTCAAACTATTATATCAAATCAAATCAAACCAAATAACTGGACATCGGAACAAAATGGCGAATAATTGGTTCCGGAACCTTTCCTTTGTACCGTTTTCCACCGAACCGCTAATCACGGAACACCGACCACGCTTATGATAACAACAACGTCAAGTTGCCTAGAGTATAAACGTGTGTTTCTGAAATTTTATTTCATATTAAAACATTTATTAAGGCATTCATGTGTTGCGTACAAGTGCTTTACGAAATAATTCCCAAATTGAAAATAATTTAACAGCGGGACGTTAACGCTATATGTTTAAATTAAACATACCCTAGCACATATCCTAACATTAATATGTAAGCAAAGGAAATAAAAGACGTAGAATGATTTAATTGTCTCGTGGGCATAACAGAAACCACGTCCTAACGCGTTACAAGAGAAGTCCAACTGAGATTTAACATTTACATTTGAAAGTAATGCATGTTCACTTCCGGTAGCAGTGTCGCTGACTTGATAACGTCACACGCTGTCGACACCGGCGAGCACCATTACAACGGATTGTGTGAAGCACCTTCGGATTTAGCTGAAGTTTCACCGGCGTTGTTACCATGGTCGGGAAGATAAAACACGTCCGCCAGAAGCTCCACCAAGAGGCGGTGAGGCTCGAAAGGCCGAGCAGCCTCTCACAGAGGCCGGGCTCCGGGTTACCGCAGAGTTTAGAGAAGCCCCCTGCCTCGGAACTGCACAAAACAAGCGCCCCCATTCTGGAGAATAAGAAGACAGAGTCCTCCACCGACGCCGCACAGGTCTGGTACAATAATACCAACGTTCATCGCTCAATGTACCCGTGGTCACCGTGTTTTACCGTCATTTTACACACATTTAACGGTCGAGTCCGGTGGCTCCTTTACCTTTCTGTGGCCGCGAGTTCGTTAAGTTTTCTCTCCATCTATCTGTAACTCCTAATGTATTAGCAAACAGCACGAGACAGCCTGACCTCACCACGTCGCTTAATCAATCCTATTGATTTGTTATGTCAGCCACAGTGATGTATTCTCCTCTATGGTAGGCCCATGAGACATATAATATATATAAATAATGTGTGTGTTACTACGTTTCGTGCTCTCCTGTATGATGCTATACTAGTACTACTACAGCCTCATAGCATCACTCTGTAACATATTATGGGATATCTGCATCACAAAACAGGACTGTTCTGTTATGACAGAATATTGAAAACAATGCACATTATATTTGACCATTATTATGCAGCTTGCAAGAATTGTAGGCTTCTCCAGAAAAAAGTCCTAGAGAGAGAAATGTAAACACGGCCATTTACTCCACTGTGAACCCTCGCAGCCCCTGGGACAAATCTCCTTCCCCTCTGGGATTTTTGCCGGCACCAAGATAACTGCAGAGGCCCTGGTACAGACGCTGAGGTTTGAGGAGCCTCCCGACGCACCTCCACCTGCTCGCACAGGTAAGACCTTTCCCGTGAACATAACCAATAGGACATTTCCTAAAGCGGCTTTAACTTTAACTAATTCAATGAGTCCACAGCAGTGGGTCAAAGGTCACAACCGCATAGAAGAGGTATTCCCTTTTCCAAGGTTATCCTAATATGCTAACAATTGAGTTAAAAAGGAGGACTAATATTACTGCTGTCTACTCTCTGTTGTTGCCACTAGATGGAGTAGGAGGCTTGTTGATGTCCTCTTGCTGCAGCAGCGCGCCACAGTAGAGGTTTTGTCTTGTTATTTGGGCTGCTGGTACATCATCTTCCAGCCCTGGAGCATCTCCTTCAGAAGAGTCAGCGCAGAGCTGCCTGGGAGGGCGGAAGGGTGGGGGAGGCGGGCCTCATCTCTGCTGCAGGGCTGAGAGTGTGTCTGCTGAGGGGACCGGCGGACTGGGGCCCAGTTGCTAAGCACACCGTGCCGCATGAAGCCTCGCCAGACAACGCTGCTATTTATAGAGCAGGTGTGGTACGAATTTAGCTCATGCGTAAAAACCAGGTTTGGCAGCCTCAGTGTTCCCTGGCTGCAGAGGGAAGACGCGGAGGCTGCTGCCGTATCCCTTTATAAAGACACTGATTGCAAAGGGAAGAACTCAGCGGGGTAAATGCTAAGTCCTCTGCTTGTCACCTCACAGGAACATCCATACCTTTCTTTAGGGGGGAATGTTCACTCCTGTGTGCACATATAAGCACATATTATGTGTAAGAACAATGATGTCAGTGATTATGATTCATTGATCCATTGATTCATGGACATTACTAGACGGGGTCGGATGACGACAGGAGCTTTAGAGGTCTCAGCTTCTACTGGAGGAACATATTGCGTGTGGAGGCACCCAGGGAGGCTCAGACCGCATGTAGCTCCATCATATGGTGACAGAGTTCTGTCAGGTGGGCGCCGCGCAGCCTCTTGAAGGGCAATTTCATTTCATTTTCTATATTGCGCCAGATCCCAACAGAAGTTATGTAACGCTCCCTTTCCTACAGCAGGTTTATACCATATTATTTAATGGGACAAACAAAGTAGCCTGATGGTATTTATCATATTAACGTAGTAGGTCATTTCCGTCTCTCCGTGGTCGCTTCTTTACAAATGAACTGTGTCTTAGAGGTCAGCGCTCACCTCTAGTGGTCGTGTTGATCATCACGGGACTACTTATTTAAACCAACAGGATTTTCTCTCAGGAGACAGCGATCTGCTAATGTCAGCTAACTTACAAACCCGAGTTGAGGCTTCAGAAATATTAAATGGTGAGTCTGTGCCAAATCTACAGCATATTTAAGCAAAACTCCTGGATTCATCAGTTTTTACCTAATTTACAATAATGAGGTTCTCCCTCGATGCCCCTTATGATCAAACCACGTTAGACAGAAACGCTAAAAGGAAGCGCTAGTTTATTAATGCATTTCTTTACTCCAGCCTGTCTGTATTTCTGGGCACAGTGCATCCCGATGTCTGAAGAAGCAGTCAATTATTTCTTCTCTCATCTAAAATAGCTTCACATTCTCCATAACAAAGCTTGAGGCAAATGTGTTTCCTGACCTGGAGAAAAGGCAGCGTGGTCTGTGGAATGCAGATAGCAAGATGATTTTGATTCGTTTGCACACACATGGTGGTAAGAACAGGAATACGGTCGTATTAGTGAATGAGGCCCAACGACTCTGATGAAATAGAAGCAGGGTGATTATGATCCAACGTAACATTATTATGTCTGATGGAACTCTTCTACCGTGGAATCAAAGTGTGTGATTTACCCTGAGGGGGGAGAGTGAAATCCTGACTGACTGTGGAAGCTGATCGGACAGCCCCCCCCCCCCCCCCCCCCCCCCCACCTCCTCTTGACAAAGTGCTCTGTCCGCAGTCTAATTAGAGCTATCGTATCACTACCAGACCCCAGGGGGAAGACCCCACATCCTTTTTTATTCTGAGGTCAGCTCCCTAAAGGCCGCCCACTTCCCTCCCCTCCTCTTCCTCTATCCATCTCTTCTCTAGTTGTCCTTCCTTGTCTCTTTCTCTATCCTTCCCTCCTTGCTGTCCCTCCTCTCCTACTTGTCCACCAGTAGTAAGTCGGTGAAGTGCGGCCACGGTTTCCCCCTCCTTCGGGTCTCTGTTGTTTTTCACTGGTCCGCATGCAGAGCTGTCACGTTCACTTGCATCGCCGCCTGCGTCCGAGCAGCGGAGCATGCAGCGGAAGTAATAATGATGTGCCCAAAAGACGCAGTGATGCTGCCAAGATGAAAATGGCAGCTGCCTCTGTTTGAGGCAAAAGGTGACGGTTTAAACAAACCAAAGTGAACAACACACTGTTCTTAATAAAGAAAAGTCTCCTTCCACATGTCCTTGATATGATGATGGAAGAAGTCTTCTGAAGGAGAATGACTTGATCAATAATGTGTTTGAAGCGCAGCTGGAGGTCCCACTGATACGCGTATGTAATGATCAGTGTCGCTCAACGCACAAGCTCCAGCATTCCTATTTGCCGTGTTCCTCTGCGAGCAGTCGTACGCTTCACGCCTCCCTGAACCACCAGTCGTGACATTCAAGCATCACTGGGAAATCTCACTGTGGGCTTCCTCCTGCATTATTTCATAGTTAGGAGCTGAAGCATGGCAGCACCAAAAGCATGAAATGGTATTATCTGTGTTTGTTTTATATCAGACCCAAGGCCAGCAACAAAACCTTGATCTGGTTACATCCAGATTCAGATTGCTCACTGGTCATGAAGCGTTTTATTAGACTGGAAATGCACCGCATGTTATGAAGGCAGCAGGTCACCTTTACAACTCTGTAAATACACGCTATGTGTCTAGTCAGCTAATCAGTCATAGAAAATGTACCTGGTGCTAATTGTCCCTCCCCTGACAGTGCAGAGGGGCCGGGGTGGTCCGGAGTCTAAGGATGGTGCTCATCACTGTGAGCAGTCTGAGGAGTTGGGAGTCACGGGAGGTGTGTGCTGGGTGGGTGAGGAGCAGACTCCAGGCAGCTGTAATCACAGCTCTCCATTTCATTGAACAGATGGAAGACGATGCTCCCAATGGGACAGGTGTGGTGGTAAATCCCCCCCCTCCTCCACCCACACAGCAGTCAGCAGCGGAGGCCTATCTCTCCATCTGTGCCTGTTCCCTTCCTGCTAACAGCAGCAGAAACACGCGTGTTGGTGGCCACTGTGGTGGCAGATAAAAGATCTCTGGAGATACCGACAGTCCCAACGCCTGCCTCTGGCTCCGGACTCATTCTGACCAGGTTCATGTGATTATGTTTAATGCTTTTAGGAAGCATCATCTGCAGATGATGATGAGTTGTTATGACTCACAACCGCTACACATGAGTTCAACTCTGTTGCTGCTTCAGTGACAAAAGTCTCTACCTCAGTTTATAGCACAAAGAGTGAGCAGTTGGCCCCGCCCCCAAATCCCGACTACAGACCTATGATGGGGCAGGAACTCCAGCAGCTGAGCCGGTCACTGAACTCATGAATATCTTGGAGAGATAACTTTGTCCGTATGGAATCTCCTGCTTGTAGTTATTCATTGTTATGGTATGACTGTTGTTCGCCTTTGATTAATGTCATAAGTGACTCATGGAGGTTCTCCTCCTGTGATCAAACATCCCGTCTGGATGTCCGGTCATGGCCAAATTAGGCCGTTCATGGGCTGCATTGGGAACATGGGGCAGGTTAGCTTATGAGTAAAGTTGCATAACGTTAAGTGACCTAACCTAAGCCAACGTTGCGTTTTGGATTCACACGGACACATTGGTCTCTTTTCACTATGACTAGTGAAAGTGCATCAGACAAACCACCTGGCTGTAGAACCCAGATAATCGCCTGGAGTCCAGCGGCTGCTCTTGGGGCCTGAAGTCCGGCCCAATGGGATCGATAGAGCAGTAAACAGCCCGGCACGCATCACACCCTCCCGAGCTCATTGATACGACATCAGCTATCGGTTGCCTCTGACCTCTGACCCCCACAGAGCCGCAGCCGACACCGATCGATGGATAGAAACACGGCCAGGCCCGATGGGGCTCACTGTACAAAGTAGTGTATTCGTGTTCACTTTTATTTATTAGTATTACTATATATGTATGTACCGTATTTTGCGCACGAAAAGACGCACCGCATCAAAAGGCGCACCTTCAATAAATGACGTATTTTAATTATTTTTACATATATAAGGCGCATCGCATCATAAGGCGCACCTTTAATAAAACGCTTCGCATAAGGCGCTAAAGTAGAGGCTGGAGTTACGGTGCGTTATGCATCCATTAGATGCATAACGCATCCATTAGATCAGGGGTCGGGGACTTATGGCTCGCGAGTCACATGTGGCTCTTTTGACGACTGCATCTGGCTCTCAGATAAATCTTAACTTATATTCCTTAACACGATATGTAAGAAATAATTCCGCTGGAAATCACAGTGTTAAAATAACGATCACACTGTAACTTAGAGCTTTAGCTGCTTGGGCTGTTTCCGCAGAGATTTTGACTCTTACAAAGATCATCGCTGTATGAAACGATGCCACACTCTGTGATATTTCCTGACAATAGAACGCTAGTCACGCACAGAGAGAGAGAGAGTGTGTGACATCCTCACTGCAGAAAGGATCTGTGTTCACACAGACACAACAGCGCTGAACCAAACAGGTGACAGCGTCTTAGCAGAAGTGGAGCGCATTTCACTTTTCCTGCGTTTTACTCGTTTTTAATTAATTAAGTGCAAATAAATCTTGTGCTTATCAACGATTAGCGCCAATTTGTGATTTCAATAAATATACTTAAAATATTTTGGTCCTGTGGTGTGCCTCGTGTGTGCCTGACTGATGGATGCGTTATGCATCTAATGATTAGCAGTCAGATAGGTCAGTCAAACTTTATTAACAAGAAAACAAAACAACAAAGCAACAAGAACAATAATAACTCTGTAAACGTAAAGCTCACTTTCTCAGTTCCTTATCTAAAATCCCTCGAAAACTTCTTCTTCCGTGTCCGAATTGAACAGCTGGGCTATTGCGGCATCCAAAACGCCTGGCTCCGTCTTATCAAAGTCATCATTAACCGAGTCAGTGTCGCTGCTGTTGTCTGGCAGTTCGGTGACAATTCCTGCCTTCCTAAAAGCTCGGACCACAGTTGTGACTGATATACCAGCCCAGGCATTTACTATCCACTTGCAGATATTAGCATATGTCGTCCGGCGCTGTCTCCCCGTCTTGGTGAACGTGTGTTCGCCTTCGGTCATCCACTGCTCCCACGCAGTTCGCAGTCGAGCTTTGAATGCTCTGTTGACGCCAACATCGAGCGGCTGGAGTTCTTTTGTTAATCCACCCGGAATGACGGCGAGCACTGAATTAGTGTGCTTCACTTGTTTTTTGACATGCTCGGTGATATGTGCGCGCATGGAGTCATAGATCAATAGGGACGGAGCTGTGTGAAAAAAACCACCCGGTCTCTTCACATAAATTTCTCTCAACCACTCACTCATCTTTTCTTCATCCATCCATCCCTTCGAGTTAGCTTTTATGACAATGCCAGCTGGAAAGTTTTCTTTCGGCAAGGTCTTCCTCTTGAAAATAACCATGGGTGGAAGTTTGTGGCCATTAGCCTGGCAGGCGAGAACTACAGTGAAGGACGTTTTCTCATTCCCTGTGGTGCGAATATTCACCGTACGTGCTCCTGTTTTATCCACAGTGCGGTTTACAGGGATATCGAAGGTGAGTGGAACCTCGTCCATATTGATGATATGCTCTGGCTGGATCTTTTTTTCAGTTATCTTGTTTCTGCAGTATGTGCGGAAAGTGGCCAACTTTTCCTGATAATCAGCTGGTAGTTGTTGTGACACAGTAGTGCGCGTACGGATGGAGAGATGACGTCGTTTCATAAAACGGAAGCACCAAGAAGGACCGCCTCTGAATTCACTGATGTTATGTTCGCGAGCTAGCGCTATTGCCTTCATACGAATTGTGACTGTACTAACACTTCTGCTTGCTGCTCTTTGTTCAGCAACCCACTGTTCAACTTTGTCCTCTAACTGTGGCCATCTCGCTTTGTTCCCGCGGAAACTCTGTGTTGTCTTCTTTACTTGGCGGAGCTCATCCTCATACTTCCTCCACTTCCTCACCATTGATTCATTGATATTAAATTCTCTCGCTGCTGCTCTATTGCCGTGTTCTTGTGCGTGGCTTATCGCCTTGAGTTTAAACTCAGCGTTGTACGCGTGTCTTTTGGTAGGAGCCATTTCAGGGTATTTACAAAAATATTAAAATGGAAATGAAACGCCAGTTTCCCGGTATCCCAGCATGCACTGCGCACTATTACGGGAGAAAATCGAGTCGCGGCTGCTTACCGTAACTGAGACCTGTATGCGTTTTAATACTGGGCCATATACAAGGCGCATTGTATTATTAGGCGCATGATCAGCTTTTGAAACGATTGAAGGCGTTTAGGTGCGCCTAATCGTGCGGAAAATACGGTACTATATGAAGAAAAATACAAACACTTTAAACACCATTTAACAGCATTATGTCCTTTACACAGTAGCAGTAACAATTCTTCTTAAACCTTAATATAATCACATTTTTTTATATATATATATATATATATATATATATATATATATATATATATATATAACCAAAGCTATTTGCCACTGCCAGGGCTTTACTGTTTCATCTAGCTTTATCACTGTGTGGGTGGAGGTTCTGTGTTGATTTGAGGTTCTGGTCGGGCTGGCAGATGAACAACCTCCAACGTTCTAATGATTCAATTCCTCCAAAATAACTATCCAAATATATTTGATTTCTTTTTAATGAAGTTGTTTTTTTTATCCATTTTGAGCATTCATGAGGCTTAAATGTGAACTGATGCTTAGACGTGTGAGCAGATTTTGGCCAAATATGACGTTTGAAAATCGCTTCTTAAAAACACCTTGGTTTTGAACTGTTCAAATATCTATTCTCGGCCCTCGTATCCATGACAACTTGTTTTAACTGGCCACGGGCGAAGCAGCACTGCATACTGAAATATTTTCAACTTCATTGCTAGTAAATATCCCATTATTCAACATGCCCTTTTTCAACACTTCTACTGAGGCGTGATCAAAACAAAAGTCTAACCGTATTTATAGTAATTGTGTTTTTCCAGTTGTTTCTGTCCAGTCCACTGACACACGGTGGGCTGAGTGGATCCATACTCCCCCTGTGGATGTGTTTCCATGAAGCCCCCAAAGCTTCGGTTAGTCAGGGCCAGCAAGTGCACAGATAGACCCATAATGTTGCTCAAGCACCTGCCCTTTTGCCCTGGACAAGAAAAATGCCCCTTCAGTTTGAGCCCAATTTTTTTTGTCATTAGTTAATATTTAAGAATAAAAATGAACGCTGAAAACATTTATTTCTTAGGAAACGTTGCAACTGGTCTGACGTTTTTTAAGAAATAAACAAAAAACTCGAAAACCTGGGATTTCAAAGCCTTGTCCAGCCGTTTACTGACGTTTGTCATGTTTAATGAAGAGAGAGAGAGAGAGAGATACGCAACATAGATTTCTCTTATTTACAAACATTTATTCACATACATTTGCAGCATAATGCCAAGAAAAGAGAAGGACAGGGAACTGCAGCAGTGCAACTGTTAGTCGTCATTATAGTTTTTAGCTCGGTGGCGTTTGCCGAAAAAAGCCCGCAAACGCCGCAAATGATCGGTTTCGCCCAATGTGAGCTTCCGTAACCGCTTTAGGACGCCTTTACCTAAAGAGGACAATTCAAGTAGACGTCATGAGCGATGTGAATGAATGAGATGGTGCGACATCTTGCTTTTGCACTCGTTTCGGTGCCCAGGACTCCTTTTCACACGTTGTCGCTCCCTTAGAAAACACACAATCCTCATTTACTCGCTCATTTACATTGTTTAAGTTTCACATTCGGTTGTTTAATTTGAACATGATCAACAGAGTGGACAACGTAAGGTCAACCGACTGTGCTGATGTCCGATACAAAAGCTCCGTGAGTCTGTCCCACCCCCTCCTCTTATCCACTGATCCTCGTCAGGTGAATCTAATAAACCATGAAAAAAGTTATTTCAAATATGGAGCTAAAATGCATCAAGTGAATACACATAATCCCTTCCAACAAAACAAATAAATGATTTGTAACAAAACAGAAAATATGGCTCCAACACCAGACAAATGATTGTCGATCTCCTTGCAAACCAACTTCTGGTGCTAGGCTAACAAACGTGATGTTTCCAGTCCAGTTTGTCTGTTGCATAGCAACAGCCACACGTGGCCACACAGGACTATTTTCTCTAGACTACGGAAATAAATATGATACACAACGTATTGTGGCTACAATAAACTACTCGTACCTTATTGCTTAAGTACAATATGGCCTTAATGTGTCTGTTTTTGCCTGTTATTCATTTATTAATATAATTTAGAGTTAGTTTGTTAACAAAAAAAGTATGGACGTTTTATTTTTATTATTATATTTAATTCCAAGGATCGTTTTGGCGATGGGTGCCTTTTTGGTTTGAGCACCTGCCCCCCAAAGTGTCTGAGGGGGAAGGTCAGTGGGTCTCTGCTGCTGACACACGCAGTGCTAACGGGTTCGCTAACGTTAAGTGATGGTGCCTGATGACTCGCGTCATGTGGTGCATTCAGGCCGTCACAACTGATCTGTTTGAATATGTGCACGTTCAGATATAAATATTTATATAGAGAGAAGGTGAAGAGGTTTGATGTGTGCGGCCATTTAACTGTGTGTTTTCTCACAGGCCCAGAAGAGAAGAAAGTCAAGTCAAAGAAGGAGAAGATGAAGGAGAGGAGAGAGCGGTGGCTGAACAGTGAGTTGTAAGATGTCATTCACCATGTCACCATTGATGATGTGGCATCATCACCATTCCATCTTCAGTCAGGTTATTTAAGGAAATACACATTATGTTCAACGTCTTCCCACAACATTTTCACTCAAAGAAGGCAAGAGCCATACTAATGGATCAGTTAACAAGAAATCTATCAGCACCATTAATTCCATATTTAATATGCAGAATAATTCAAACTAATATTGATATAACGTGTCAATGAAACTGGACGAGCGCCGCCATCGCCTCCCGTAATTGCGCCAAGGCCTGTAACCGTACCCGGCCGCTGAGCCAATCCATTCCCGGGTAACACAAGGCGTATCTTGATCAGGCGTATAATTAGGTGCTAATGGCTGTGCGACTCGATACCGCTGAAACCCAATAGCCGTTTTCAGGAATTAAAAAAAATAATAGGGAGGAATATCCGCCCTTCTCAGATGAAGGACTCCGGGTAAGGAGACTGGAGGAGGACCAGCGAGGGTCTAATGGCCTCAAACCGTAAATGGTGCAGACAGGAAGTTTCCGTGCTTGTCACAGTCCCTGCCAACCTCCGGCGACAAGTAGCAGACGCTTTAATATACAGAATATGGCTCACGGGACAATAGAATTTGAATTACTGAAGAAGAGTAGCCATATACAGACGTAAACGCGTATCGGGAACCAGTGGAAGGAGTAGATAGTAATGTGTGTCTCTCTCTCTCTCTCCTCTGTCTCTCTACCACCCCTCCTACAGAGATCAGCTCCATTAAACAGGCCAAGGAGCAGCAGGCGGCCGAGGCTCGGCGGCAGGCCACGCCCGTGGTGGGGGACATGAGGCCGCTGGCCGACGCCCTGCCGGAGCTGTCTCTGCTCGTCGCACCCCGCACCACGGCCCTCACCGCCCGCCGCAAGAGCAGGAAAAACAAAGTGTAAGTGCCACGGTGATGTTGGCCTCCATCATCAGAGCACCACATCTGTCCTTCAGAGCACTAATGAGCCTGTGAGACACATCGTGTCCCAGTTGTCCTTGTTTAACATTTGCCCTCCCCAATTACACAAGTTACTAATCCAAAATGGGCCTTTACTGTGTTTCTGTGTGCGTTGACCTTCAACGGACGCCTTGAGTACAGAACGAACAAGATGGCGCACTGAAAACGCTGTTGGTCCTTGTGATATCCGATGAGTAGGGATGCAACGGATACCACCACACCCGAAATCACCATGACAACACAATGTCAGCCTCTCAGACGCACTGATACCCTGATGTGGGAACAGGTTGCATCCGTTGAAACACACATGGCAGGAAGAGCGGGGGCTGTTGTTGTCTGCAGTCACAGGGTTGTGGTGGACACCAGTGGGATCAGACGGCGTCTCCCCATCATCCCAGCAGGGGAGGGGGGGGGGCGCAGTGAGTCAGGCAGATTAGTGCGTCCAGAGCTAAAAGACGTCTTTGAGGCCTCAGTAACTCCGAGCCTGAATTCACGAGAGGGGAGTGACTGTCTGACCCACGGAGTGATCAACGTGCTCCGTATTAATGAAGGCAGAGATGCCCACGAAGCCCCCCCTCCCCCCCCCCCAACCCGCCCCACCCTTTTATTTCTTGCAAAAGCGCTTAAAAGTAACACCGCAGCTTCGTAGAGAAACTAAATCGGCTCGCTGTCTTCCAGAGGGTCGCTGGCAGCCGTTACCCTCACGCTTGTAATTGTTTCGGCCCTGATGTTATAGAGCCTGGCGAAAAACCAACGCCCCCCCCCCCCGCCCCACACACACACACACACCATGTCAGAACAGCTTTAGGCTGCAGTCCATACAACACGCTGTAAAAAGTCTAAATCTGTAGTCAGTTCTAGTGTCTGAAAGGAGAGGAGAACATTTCAGTCAGCACAGCAGGTATCTGCTCTAATCCTGCACAGCGTGGGGACACACACACATAATGTGATAATAATGAATAAGTGGGAATCCTTTTCTCAAAGCTTCATCGTGGGACAGATGTTCACTGTCATCCTGATGAGGGGAGGTGAGTGCAGCACTGGGAAACTTCTTCCTGCATTCTAACGCGTCCCCGTCTTTGTCCTGTGTCCCCCCCTCCAGACCGGTGAAGAGGCCCGAACCGACAGATTTCAGTCAGATGAAACAGTCACAGAAACGCAAACTCCTGTAAGCACGACGTCCATATTCACGTTATACATATTAGATACCCCCCCCTCCCCCCTTTCCTCATCCAGAGACCCTTGGGTTTTGTTTTTATTGCAGGGAGACAGAGACCAGCCGGTTTAGCAACGCAGTCAAGACCCTCTCGGCCAAGATGAACCCTCTGGCGGATATTGGCGAGCAGCTGAGGAAGAGGATGAGGCAGGAAGAGGAGCAGGGTCCCAGCTAACAGCAGCACAGCCTCCACAGACCCCACCCAACAGACCCAAGGGGGCCCCGACCCCGGAGCAGCAGCAGCAGCAGGAACCCCGATGCCCCGGGGGGCGCTCCCGTCTGAGGAGGCGGAGCAGGAAGGTGGTGTTTGTACACGCTGACTGTGACGGATGTCCTCTCTCTTTTAATCCCCAGCTTCCCTCTTCAGTAATAAATCTCGGTGCATTCAACACTCTGCTGTTATGTGTGTTTTCTGCGTGGTGACAAGTCTCCAGGTGCGCCCGTCTTGGTTAATGAAGCAGTGCATGTGCAAACAGATCCGGCTTGTTTCCATCAACACCCACACAGCCGCCCGTCTATTCTCGGCTCTCCTCGTGCCCGATTGAGAATAAGATCAGCAACGTGGGGTGACTCATCAGCTATAACCATGGCAACTGCACTGATCCATGTAAATGAACATCTTGTCAGGCCAACGCTGAATGAAAATATTGTCAGACTATTGTAAACATGTTATGTTTTTATCAACTTACTTATCTGTTGTACGGATGAATAGTAAAATCTTAATCTTTGATTCTAAGATTTTATTTCATTGGAAAACATTGAAACATGGAAAGCAGCGGTTTCCGATATTTGAATTTCATATTAGTCTCTCACAATGGTATAATTTTCTGCCATTATAATTGCTATCCATATTATAGATGATTAGTCATTTCTGTCTTTTAACTCAAGTAAAAAAAACTCACTGAAAGTCACATCTTAAGTTGGACTTCTGTTAAATACAGTCATTCAAGTTCTGATGAATAGGAATGTATCTGTATGATACCGTATCGTAATTATGGGGATATATTTATGACTTACTAGCGACATCTTCTCTTTGGCGATGAAGTTATACACCCCCATGCCCTGTTGACCCATTGGAATTACGGATTAGAGTGTTTGCTTTCATCTTGGCTGCAGTACAAGGTTATGGATCGTCCATATGAGATCTGTGACACGGGGCTCCGTCTGGCTGTCTCTTCATATATTCCTCTCCTCAAAGGATGATCCCGCTCGCTGGTTCTTCTGGTTTTAACCATAACCTATAACCTCATCTCTGCTTCACTCACATGGAAGCAAATCACACCGACCCCACCAACTAGTGGGGGAGGAAATACTGAATTACTGTCGTACAAGTGGCACTGCAACAATACTGCATTCAAATATCAATATTAAAAATAATAATAAATATGGTGCAGTAAAATGTTCAATATTTCGCTCTATATAGTGGAGCAGGATTGGACGGTTTTAAACCCACCTGGGAAGTGTGCTTGAGTGCGGTACTAAAGTAAAGACTGCTCCCGGTGGCATAGTACGGTTCTCCAGCCGCCACTTGATCACCCGGCTGGAAGAAGGTATGGAAGTGTGAAAGAAGAAGTGCGAGGCTCATACATGGTCTCTATGATTAGATTAGAGGTAACAAAAACCTAATCAATACACGCTTCAGGCTGTCATTAGGACTCGTTAATAATGGATGCTATTGGCGGAGCACAGAGTCCAGTTAAGAAGAAGCATTGGTCTCTGCTGGAGGACGGGATGTGTGCGGCTCACACAGGTACACACATGCTCTTGTCATTTGTATGATCCCACTGTCCTACATTCCTGCTGTGCCAGACGGACCCGGGCCTCGCAGACAGCAGCTACGGGACACTAAAAGGGTCATGGGCTGGTGGTGCACATGGAGACTCGCCGGGCTCTACTCCACCTGCTTAATACCTACAGATTTATAAGGGATTGTTTAGTGGAGTAGTAACCAGGATAACCATAACACAATATGTGTGCATGTTGTGTCATTGTTAGTCTACTACCGCCACTACAGTTGTTATTATTTGTCATTTTAAATTACTATGTGGCTTACTACTCTAAATCGTTTTGTGTTTTTTTGGGCTATACAAAATGAATATAAATACCTTAACTTTTTACAGCCGTTTGTGCTTTTTACTACTCGGTAAATAAACTACATTGCAAATCAATTAGTAAGGGCGTAATAACAGGTCACACAAATAAGACTACTCCACTTCCCTTCATTTATTTAACACTTTAGGTTCCTGCTGTCCCGCGACTGGTTGAGGCTGGATGAAGTCGTTATGAATCCTTTAGGAGCAGAGGCCCAACATTCTGCTCTTATGGGCACTGATAAAACGCACACCTGATATCATCGTCATCTTTCCAGTACCTTCTGTCAACATCGATGCATAAATGCATAAAGCGGCTGGAAGCGAAGCCTTCACTCTTCAGTTCCCCTCATGCTAAGCTCAGTTAGCTCTGTCAGCACTGTGGAAGCATTGATGCATCCATGTGATGTCAGTCATATCTCATCGGCTCATCTACTTTCTGAGTCTCAACACGCACGCTCTGAGCCGCTTGTTTGTTTATTAGTAACAACATATCTGGTTTCTGCATATTCCCTTGTATTACAGGCTCCCCGTACAGGCCAAAAAATTCATAAAAAATAAAATGTCTCTTTCTGTTCCGCTCCGGCACATGCGCGCATATACGCACGTGGTGCTCACACCAGCGGACTGACTACATCTCTTCTTCTCTTATCTTCTAAGTTGTAAACCCAGGGAAAACACTCAGGGGGCTGATGAGGAGCATTACTCACTGTGGGGGGCTGTCATGCTTTCATCTGCACACCTCCAGCTTCACACTTCGTGAACTGGTCTGAGTTCATTTTGAGGAGCACTTATAGTTACGTCATTCTAAGCACATTATGAGCTAAAGAAAAGGCTACGTTCGGTAATCTATGAAAAATGGTTTGTTGAAGTTCTCTTTACTGTGGCCTGTGGCCCAATCCCAATGACCCCGCCTTCATGAATTTACAGATTCACAGACTGTTTTATTGTGTTTATTTTATTGTACAGCACTTTGGGAACCTTTGTGTTCATTTAAACTATGCTTTATAAATAAAAACGGATTGGATTGGATTTTGCAAGGGTTTAGTTCTGTCTCACTGTCACACCGCTGAGGCTTTGAGGCTCTCAGGCAGACATGTTGAGCCTTTTATGAACCCTTTCCGTAAGTCAGGAGTGGACTTCAAACAGCAAACAAACTTTTAGACCAAAATCTGGATCAGAAAGACGCCACGTCGTCCCCGTGCTTTTGTCTGTTCATTCTTTCCCTGCTAACTGCTCTTCGGTGTATGACACGTTAATAACGTTAATCTAACGTCCCCACCCCATCAACTGACTCTGTACCTGATTGTCGCAACATTTAATCCCTCTCTCCCTCCTCTCTGGCCTCCTCTGTTCTATCAGCTCTCCCCTCAACTGACTCTTTCTCACTCTCCAAACACTGCCGCAGGGACTCTCCTCTCAACGATGTCCTCCTCTCTCGACTCTCTCGCTCCTCTTACGACATGACAGGCAGGTAAATCCCCTCCGGCTTCGTGGTTGTCTGAACCGGTGCGTGCCGTGAGAGCCAGTATGTGAGCATCGGAAAGGAAATGCCGTAAATATAAACAACCTGACGTCCTGCTTGCGTTTCAATCTCTTCTCTCCTCTTTTTCTGCTTCTATGTTGCCAGAAGCTCAATCTAGAATTGAGTCCTTATTTACTAACCCCAAAAATCTTCTCCAACCTCCTCAAACCCTCCAGTCCTCCTCCCCCCTCCACCCTTTTTCCGGGAGACTTTGTCAACTATTTTACCAAAAAAATAGCTGACATACACTCCTCTTTTGCAAACCCACCTCCCACTACTTATGTCCCACCGACTTCACCTCTATCGCCCTTACCTTCTTCCTTTCCTCACCTATCTCATTAACTCTTCTCTGTTATCTGGCTGTTTTCCCAACTGTCTGAAGGAAGCAAGAGTTAACCCTCTCCTGAAGAAACCCACCCCTCAACCCATTTTAAGACCGTAACGACCTCCTGCCACCAGCCATGCTCCAAGGCAGGCCATTCCACAGAGACTGCTCTCCTTGCTGTCTCAGAGCACGGGGGTCATCATGGCACAGGGGTTAGAGAAGGTGTGCTGGGAAGAATAAGGTTGGTGGTTTGAGTCCAGGCTGCCCCATGTTCCATGTCGAAGTGTCCCTGAGCAAGACACCTAACCCCTAATTGCTCCCCGGGCAAAAATGTGAAAAAGCCATGGGTTTAAAGTCTAATGTAAGTCGCTTTGGATAAAAGCGTCTGCTAAATGACCTGTAATGTAATGTAACTCCACACTGCTAGAGCCGCCTCTCTCTCCTCCTTACTCATCGTTCTGGACCTCTCTGCTGCATTTGACACAGTCAACCACCAGATCCTTATTTCCTCCCCCCAGGAACTTGGTGTCTCAGGCTCTGCTCTCTCCCTTCTCTCGTCCTACCTCGACAGCCGCACCTACCGGGTAACCCTGGGAGAATCTGTGTCGTAACCTTGTCCTCTTACTACTGGAGTTCCTCAAGGTTCCGTCCTAGGTCCCATTCTCTTCTCGCTCTACACCTCTCTCTCTCTGCGTCATTCGCTCACATGGCTTCTCCTTCCACAGCCGATGACACCCAATTCTCTCCTTCCCTCACTCAGACACTCAGATCTTTGCCTGTCTGACTGACATCTCTAAGTGGATGTCCGCTCACCATCAACCCGACAAGACTGAACTACTTCTCTTTCCGGGAAAAGACTCTCCTACCCATGACCTGACTTAACTCCGTGCTAATGCCCACTTTGACTGCTAGGAACCTCGGTGCGACACTTGACAGCCAACTCTCCCTGACTCCCAACATCACTGCGACAACACGATCCTGTAGATACATGCTCTACAACGGTTCCCAAACTGAAGAATGCCGCGGCCCAATTTGAAATCTGAAAATCTTTCGCGGCCCACCCCAACCTTTCATCACACCTCTGATCAAAATATAATGATTAAATGACCTTAAGAATTTAACCAAAATCAAACATCCGCAAGCAAAAGTCTGTCTCGCGCGAGCAAAAGTTAGTCTCCGCGAGGTATTTGCTCGCTTGCAAACATGAACTTCGTTTCGCGCTCGAAGGAGTTTTCTACGCGCTTGCTGTTTTTTTTTTTGACAATAAGGTGGAGACGGTGCTTTCAGGGTCCGATCAATGCTGCGAGGTGCGTCCGCTCCCGCCGCCTCCCTCGTCATCCACGCCTTAAATCTTCGGCTGCTTTTAGAATAACTTATTTTCCTTGCGCGCCGTGTACAACCAGTATGGATCAATCGATTAACCAATTGATCCATATATATCCATGTCGTTT